TGATTCTTCAGGCTCTATTGAAAATTGTTGCATGAAATAATGACTTTAGATACTTTGCACTTTAGACACACACGTTGCTTGATTTGTGGGGGGCCTGGTGGACCTGTTCCACCCCCTTGGCCCACCCCCCAGTGGAGTTCTAGAATCCTCATGCTTTTTTTACACTTTAAATAAACAAAAGAGGCCACCAAAGATCACTTTTGATCATCATCAGTTTTTGGTAGCCACTGTCACCATGGCAACATTTACATGGCTGCATGCCACGATTGGTCATGTACTATTGCAGATGTACCCCAACTCTATTTTCTCATTTTTTTTTCCCCAACAGTAACACATAAATATTGCATTTCACTGTTAGGCTACTACTTACGTACTTAGTGAGTTAGTAACCAGGCAGTTAAATGAGCACATGTGTATATAGTTTAATTTTCTTTTTTCTGGTTATGGTAATAATGGCATACTTTTCTAACAACAAAGCTACATTTAAGTGGGCTAGTTGGTTGTCAGCCTTGCTACAGCAATGGCTGTTGGATATAGTGTTTCCTAGCTACCCCCTAACTTCTGGCTTCGATCCTAAGATGGTAGAACACTTTGACTTGGCTTAGATATTTTGGTAACTTACATCAGCATCATTGGTCATGGACTCAGTACCAGTCTGCACAAACTTGACGGTGGGCCTAAAGGGATGTTCCTTCCTGAACTTCTCCCAAATGCCTTTCTCCATCATCTTCTCACGCACAGTCTTGCCTTTGATCAGAGGAACCCTAAAGCACAGGTTACAGCGTTACTTGTACAGGTTTAAAATTTAACCACAAATCAAGTGTAGAATAAAACAGACTGAATAGCATCATGAAGCCCAGAGAGAGAAGGAGCTGCTATGGTAAAAGCACAAGAAGTTTGAGGCTCATGCAGTACTAATGCCCATATTTATAGACCAGTCAAAACGACTGTATGATCATGAGGACAGTTGTGCCGGCCACACTGCCGTGTCCTCCATAATATTTTGGAGATATTTTTATATTCTCATATAGATGCTCTGGACATGAGTAACATTTTAAACCCCAAAGTCTCTGAATGGGATTTCAGAAAAAAGGATTTAAGAATAGGAAAAAATTTAAGAAGCAGTTTAAAATAAGTAATACCAGTCAATGTGTCCCCCATGTTGCTCTAATAAAAAAAAGAAAGAAAAATATAAAAAAATATAATATAAAAAAATAATAATATATACAGCACTTACCTGAGGCACTCAGAAAGTGCCACTAAGGCACACAAGGCCAGGATCAGCTTCATTGTCTTTACTGTTGGGCTCAAAGAGTGAGTACACACCCACAGAGTTCAGCCTTTATATACAGTCAGCTCACGTCTCCTATGTTTAGTTTTCCTTATCGGCCAGATTCTGACACAGATTAAGCCAGTGAAACTAAAACACGACCTTTTACATAACTGCATTCACATGATTTTCTCAATGTTTCATTGATATTTTGAACTTGAAACATCAGATATACATTGTGTGTGTGAGAGAGATTTTTTCTCCCCTTCCCTCAAGGTTGATAGTCTTGTTCATTTCAAGGTAAACTGTAGCTTATATCATGTTTAACTTTGATAAGCTTAACAAATGGTAACTAATGCAAACAAAATGCTTGAATATTCTATGCACTGTTTAGAATTTACATTACATTTATTCACCTATGAAAGAGTATTAGGTACAGATTTCTTTAAGCTTTAGAAATATGATGTAAATGAGATTATGTGTGCATGCTGCAAGTACGTATGTGACAGCTGCAGTTATTAGAGATGGTTGGTCTGTTACTATAGATTCACGTCAGTTTATTATAGTTATATGCAGTGTGTTATACATAAACATCTAATTTCCATTCCTCAGTTAACTTACTAATAACTCATTTAGTTTCCTTTGTTTTTCCATGTAGTTACTAAATAATACATTTTAGGATGTGGATGTTTGTGAAGGAGACAAAAGGGGAGCATCTAGAAAAAAATACAAGCATTCATTCTAAAAATCAGTTAGGACAGTATGTAGAATGCTAATAAAAACAGAAAAACGGTGATTTAGAAATCCACTTTCACCTGTATTTAAACAAGCACTACAACCACAGGATTTTTAATGTTTTACTTTATGAACTCAATTGTCTTTTTGTAAATATGTATTCATTCATATTTATAAATCATTCTGAGGGATAAAAAGGAGAATCCAGGAAAGGCCTCATCCTTCATGGGCAAGGATTTGAGCAGTTGCAAAATTCTTAGGTATTTCACCCTCTTTTATGCATAATATCTTCAAAAGATATTTTGGGAATCTGGAGCAATCTCTGTGCATAAAAATCAAGGCCAAAAACCGCAGCTGTATGTGTAATACTTTGACAAGCTGTTGTTATGAAACACCATTCTCTGGCCCCAGAAATTAAAGTTGAGTCTGTACTGTGCATAGCGGAAGCCATGTGTCAACAATATTGAGAAATGCCACTAACTTCTCTGGGCTAAAGCTCATCTGAAATGGTCTGATGCACAGTGGAAGTGTGCTGTGGTCTGGTGAGTCAACTTTTCAGCTTGTTTTTGGAGATAATGGACATCATGTTCTTTGAGCAAAAGAAGAAAAGATTGTTTCTAGATTGTTACTAGCATAGAGGACAAAAGCCAGATTCTGTCATTCAAACTAGTATTTGTGAGGTCAGGCACTGATGTTGAATGAGAAGGCCTGGCTCTCAATCAGTGTTCCAATTCATCCAAAAGGTGTTCAGTGGGGTTGAGGTCAGAGCTCTTTGCAGGCTGGTGGAATTCCTCCACCATGTGTTTATGGAGCTCACTTGAAATGCTAGAAAAAGGAAACGGCTTTCCTTAAACTTTTGCTGCAAAGTTAGAAGCAAATAATTGTCTAAAATGTCTTTGTGCGCTGTAGTATTAACTTTACCTTTCACTAGAACTAAGGAACTGAGCCCAAACCCTGAAAAACAGACTTAGAGTTATCCCTCCTTCACCAATCTTTATTGTTGGCACTGCTTATTCTGATAGGTAGCGTTCTCTTGGCACCGGCCAAACCCAGATTTGTCCATCAGACTGCCAGATAGTGAAGCGTGATTCATCACTTCGGAGAACACGTTTCCACTTTTCCAGAGTCCAGTGGCGCTGTGCTTTGCACCACTCCCTCCCAGTGCTTGGCATTGTGTATTTTGATCTTAGTCTAGTATGTAGCTGCTCGGCCATGGAAACTCATTTTATGAAGCTCTTGACACATCAACACAACATATTTTACTGATGTTGCTTTCAGAGGCAGTTTGGAACTCTGTAGTGAGTGATTTGACAGAGTATAGGCGTTGTGCACTTCAGCACTTGCTCTGCAAGTTTGTGGGGTCTACTGTTTTGTGGCTGAGCTGTTGTTGCTCCGAGGTGCTTTCATTTTACCATAATAGCACTTACCGTTGACAGGGGCAGATCTAGCAGGACAGAAATTTCACAAACTGACTTGTGGCAAAGGTGGCACCCTATGATTGTGGGTTTCTTCAGTGCGACCCAGTATACTCAATGATTATCTATCAAGACTGCAAGGCTGTGCGCGTAATTTTATCCAGTTGTTTGCAATGGGTTTGACTGAAATACCTGAATTCAATAATTAGGAGGAGTGTCTGTGTTCTTTTGACTATACAGACAATGAACACATTTTGAAGAAATGTGTGCTGCTTTCTATCCATGCTTATTTCAACATGCTAAGCTTATCACTCATGAACATGCCCACAAGGTTTTTAATCTAGTGTAGACAGTTTAATCATCCCTCAAAAGAGCTTAGTAATGGTGAGTACCTGGATTGTCACACTGATTCATCAGACTACTCAGGCTTTAGCAGGAACTTAAGTGGCAAAGAAGCTGTTTGTTCCTCTTTAGAGTTTGTCTACCACCTAACATGCGCCGATTTTGAAACAAGTATTAATTGATAGCATAAATAAACAAACACTAATTGTTGTATAAGTATTATAAATATGTTCTCCTAACATGTAAAAAGTAAGTGTATTCTGAATACTACCATTTTAAAATGTTTAGCATAGACTGAATACAGATCATTTCCATATTGTGGAAATGCATTCCGAATACTTGAATTCTTCTACATCCCAGTCCTGAACATTGTTGCATTAGGTTAAATTTTTGGTCAGTGCATAATTAATAAATATCACTTACAATTAGATTAAAAGAAATGCAAAGAAATGTAAATTTATGTATGTAAATGTGTATCACACATTTAAGCGATGGTAAAGTTTCTGTTCTTTTGTGAAACTTAACTAATCTGTGATGAATATACTGTTCCTTTGTGTTATTTATCTACTGGAAACATTTCTGTATGTGTCAGGGTTTTTATTGTTAGCTGTTCCTCCAGAGGGAAAGATTCGTGCAAGGTCAGGCAGCACCTGACTTTCTAGTCACCTGTGTTTTTTTCACATCTGATGATATGGAAACGTAAGAACAGCAACAAAATTTCATAAATTAATCAAATTATTTTCTGGTTTTCAAATATAAATTGTGTTTTGGGCTCTAAACCCAAAATAATAACATGAAATATGTCTTATGCAGTACAGTGATTATCTCTTATTATTTATTTAATTTTTACCAGCTCCTAATAACACTGCAAAAATAATATATTAATGAACTTACTGAGGCGCTGAATTAAAGCTCTTTATGTATTTGTTCATTTATGGTATAATTTATGAGTTTATGCCAGTGAAGAAAAGATACACATACTTAAAGCAGTGTTGTTTCGATCACCTAATTTCTTTAAAACTTAATCCTTTGTTTGCCTGCCTTACCCTGTTCACACCCTCTTAAATATTACCTGGAATAACCCTTATGAATAATAGTGTAGAAAACAGGCGTGACACAATGTCATTTTTCCCCTGTGAGAAGCCTATAAGATCTCATAATCCACACAGTAGAAATGTAGGTTTATAACAGCAGCATATCTTATATTACCAAGCATTGAAAAACATGGAGACATTGAATATGGAGCATTAGATTTATTTGGAAATATAATGTTCAATATGTTCTTATCTGCTATGAGCACACATTTCAGTGCATATGACTTATTACATGACCTAAGTTTAAATAGGCCTACACTGAGAGCCAAAGTAAACCAACTATGACTTTGTGTTTCTGAACCAAACACTGTTTTGTGTGGGTGAGAGTACGACAGCATTTCAGAGAAAACCAGATAATGGTGTGTTTAGTGCAAAGTGCATGAATGTGAAAACCAAGAGTCAGGAACAGTGGCACTTATTCTTGTGCTATCTTCATTTCTCCTTCAAGTAATCTTTTCCACTAGCTTGCAGTCTTCCACTCTCTCTCTCTCTCTCTCTCTCTCTCCCTTATATGCATTTAAAAGTCAATGTTTTTGTAGTCATTGGTACATCGGTATCTGTTGTCTGCGAATCTGGTGCACACCAAGTGAGGCAGGCAGGGGCAGGTGTGATGCTGTCTCTTCCCAGGGAAAGGTACCTGTACAGAGAAGTAGGAGAAATACACCTCAACATGTTATTATTTATTACTCCTAAATATGACTTTTTTATTAACAACACCATATTTGACCAAATATGCATGATCAAAAACAGTATCTTAAGAAAACAAGTCCCAATGCCATAGATAAAGATATATAGATCATAGAACACTAAACACAATATAATGCAATTCATCATCATCATCATCACTTTTATTTACATAGTGCCTTTTCTATGTTTAAGGACACTTTACAACCAATTCAGTGCAGTTCATTTCAATTCAAAAGTTGCAATTCAATTGATATACAGTGTATCATCACTGACTAAAGAAAGAAATGTATCTCCAAAATAGTAATTTTACAGGAGAAGTCAAAAATGTTCTGAACTTCTAATGTAAGTTACTGTAAAGAGGTTTCATGATGAGTGATTTTGGAGCTTTTCAAAATTTCTGGACAATGTGAGGTTCAGCTGTGGTGCTTAAATGAGCTAGAAATAATAAAATAAACAAAAATTGAGATTTTTTTTTGCATGGAAAAGATGTGTGAAAAGAGGTCAGTATTCATCTAACTGTGATGTGTCCTTTCCATTCTTTAGTTGAAACAGTCTTCATTCACTGTCTCTTTGGCTCTCCCACCTCAGCATCTGCACGGTTTTAATATCTCAGCATCAGCGAGATGGACAAGGAGAGAGATGTATAACACTGATCTCTGATCTCTCTCTCAGACAGTCAAGAACCTGATCTCAGTATAAGATACACTTGTCAGCAGCGCTGCAGCTGCCCTATAAGCCAACACGGCCTCACAGCTTAAAATGTGGCCTGAGCAAAGGATAGAGCACCTTTTATATTTTTGCTTTTCCGATATGTTAAACTCAACAAAGAAATAGAAATTGTGCACTAAAATTAAATTAAAATAAAGTGTATCTATAATGATGAAGGGAGCTGTAGATAGTTCAGATCATGAATTTAGCTATAAAAATATTTAGCGGTCATACATTTATTCCCAAAACATTTGGATGAACATAAAGACTTGGATGAAATAACATTTAAATCTGCATTATATAAATTATTATTGTATTTAAAACAACAAAAATTAATATGACAACTGATTCCAAACTTTTGGAAGGTAGAGTATATAGAGTCATGAAATATAATGCTGATATATTGTATTCATAACATTCTCTGTATTAAAATCAGAATCCTTAACGCTAATGGTACTCCATAATTTAATTTACCATAATTGCATGTTCCCTCATGCAGATGTATAAAAGCTCCATTGCTGGGTATCGGAGGCACTGTCCACCCCTGCCTGCCTGTACATAAGATCTGTCAGTAATCATTCCTTCTTCCACTCCCTCTCTTCCATTCTCTAAATATGTGTATGCTGCAGTTCACTCTTAAAAAATAAATATTTCTAAACTGTTCTTGGTTTCAATGTATGGGTCTATAAAAACTTACATTTTGCAGAATTTCTTTAAATCTTTAAAAAGGTTCTTTACATTCACAGTTATAAAAATCTATTGAACGGTTCTTTAGGGAATCAAAGAACCACACCAAAGAACTATTTTTGCCAACTTTATGAAAATGTGTACCTTATGGCTGAAAGGATGGCACTCATCTCCCTCTAGCCCTTGTGGCGTGCACATCCGCAGGCCCCTCAGCCACAGGCTGACTGCGCAGCACAGCCCCATGCCACACTGGACGTCTCGGTCACATGCCTAACACACACATATTAAGCATACGTTCATTCTCACACGTACACACATGCAAACATAACCATGTCACGCAGTGCGTCACACTGTCATACAGACACTCCATCATATATAAATGACATTAAAAATTATAGCCTTTGTACTCTTAACAAAAACATACTACACTGTAACTGAGGTGGAACCCTCAAGAGTACGTATTCAGTACCTTTAGTCAGGGAACATAACTGTACTAAATTTTGTTGCAATTATATTTTAATCTCTTGACCCCTGGGTTCTTATTTCATTTTTGTATTTTAATACAAGGAACAAATATGCAAATTTCCTTTGGGAAAAATACTTATTTAAGGTACTCAGTTGAACCTTAAGACCATCATTGTACTTTTGTGGGTACATTTACATTATTTGTAACTTGATGAACAAAAACCTGCACTGTGCTCTTTTTTTCTGTACAGTGTAACATACTTTGCTTGTTACTTAAGCTTAACTGTTAGCTAATACAATCAAAATGGCAATAAAATGACAATAATGGGCTTAACAGTAAAGAAAAAATCAGATCTAGTGCAGACACTGTAAAAGGTCAAAAATATCAGGCGTTGTTTGTATCAAATATACTAGACTCGCATGTGATATGTTATTTTATTTATTCATTTATTTGTTTGTTTGTTTCCAACCCATGAAGTCCTTTTGTATACATTATTTTATGTAAAACTCATTTTTAAGGTTTTTATAGTGTTTCATTTTGAGTTATTTTGAATTAGATGTAATAAACTACAGCTTTTAAACTATAGAAAAAATCATATTAATGCATAGATTAACTGAATTTCAGTGAAGAAATTTCATCTTAGTCCCTTTACTGTAATTCCTGTTTAATCATCTGTCTCATTTTTTTAAGCTATTATAATTTTGTTATAATATCATTTTTAATGGATGCCTCAAATTTGTTCAGCATGACATCTATTGAATTCAGGCAGTTGGTTGAAATGAAATGAAATTAAAACCTGCACTTGGTTCTTTTCAAAACAGATCAATGCTGTTAATCTCTTTTAAACAGTACTTGTCAGTAGTATTGATGTTAGGAGGACTTACCCCAGTGATGACAGCACATCTGCAGCCACTCAGAGACACCAGGAGTACTGAGAATAAGACCACCAGGCTCATAGCAGCAACTCCACACCAGACTATTAGGCTCTCACTATCTTTCCGTTTCCTTGCCCCCCCTGTAACCCTATCTTTCTATCTGTCTCTTTAATTTTCTCTCTCTTCTGGAAGAAGGCTTTCAGATGACCTCGTTTGTTTTAGTTTGAAGGAAATGAGATAGTGGACTCCTGTCCTACTCTGTGTCAGATCCTTTCTTCTTCTTCTTCTTCTTCTTGCCGGTGTCCTGGGTCAAAGAAGCTCTGGTAACTTCTAAAATCAGACTCCAGGCTTTCTCTCTCTTTATCTCCCCTCACCCCTCACCACCCCCTCCCCCCACCTCCATCTCCGCAGGGTCCTCGTCATCCCACTCTATATGACGCTGGACAGGTCGATAAAGCTACGCTATTCAGTGTATCTCAGGATGCTTCCCTTTAAATGTTCCTTTGAGTCAAATGGAGTAATTTGTGGCAGTACTCACAAGTTACATTGCGAGGCTGACGTCAGCGTTATTAAATATAAACAGTCATCATCAAAGAAATCATGGAGATGGCAATCTACATGACCCGATACCTTAAGAGGAATATATTATGATACATAGAGGAAGAAACAATTTCTCCTCTTTTGAGCTGATCAGAAGAGCTTTTTTCCCCCATCTAAACGTCAGGTTTTTTCGATTACGTACAGAATGGATTTTTCATGTCGAAAAGAATTCAGCAAACCTGCAATAACAAATTTCCTGCATGCAAGGCCCAGGTGCAGCTAACAGAAATAAATTCATTTACCATCCTATTCTTCTATTAGATGACCATCTCAGAGAACACCATGCCCTATGACCATGACCTTGTTATTTCCGTCATGCTACTCTTCCACCTTTATATGACCCTGATGTCTGTGGTCGAGGTTTTTGAGCTTAAGAATATCAGTGAACGTCACGTAAGTTCTCCGAAGATGAGTCATCGGAGAACAGAGTTGGCCAGAGTAAGTTTTTATTTCCGTTTACATGTAACCCCATGAAAGCATTCAGCTTGCAGGTAGATCACAACAAATTAAGCACTTGTCACTGTTCTTGAGAAATAGCAGCCTACAGTCACGCAGTGATATAATTCACCCTGTCGTTCACTGACATCCTCAATTTGCACGTCTAAGAATGCCACTCAGGCTGAGATGGTTAGGCGCATGTGACGTTGCGTCCACTTAGGCTTGGATACTTCCTTAACCAATGATACTTTACCACAGCGGCCTCATATGCTCACTGTACAGAATGTGAAACAGAACATGGATTTAAGGAAAGCTGAATCTCAGGGATTCAGGCTGTGGGAAATCACAGGTCTTTTTTGTTAAGCTCCTCCCTGCCACTATATCAAAGTTAGAGCTGCTAGGTTCATGGCCTTGAAGTGTGGCAAATGCCATGTTCATTGTGTACATTTCAGCTCAAATCAATCATGACACAAGATGACATTTTGACTCCTGAATAGCACGCTGCAGAACTGTTCAAACTGCTTACCGTACACTATACAGTACTGTGCAAAGGTCAGAGACCAACCTTTGTTTATTTAATTTCACATCAAAACAGCCATTAAGTACAAGTTAATCATTTTATATGAGATCTTTCTGAAAAGATCAAACATACGATAATCCACTTGCATAAGGAAGGGGAAGGTCAAAGGAAAATAAGTGTAAAAAAACATGAGCTTCCAAAACTGGATTCAGAGAAACTGGGACTTCTGACAACCGTGGTAGACCACCAAAACTATCACTGTCAGAAAAACAGTACTTAAAGCTTTCGTCTTTGAGAGATAAGAGAAAATCACAAAACCACAATTACAGACTGTAGTCCATCTGTTTCTCTGCATACTTTGTTAGCTGGACTAAAAATAGTTCACCAACCAAAAATATCCAGCCAACAGCGTCCTGTGGGCAGCGTCCTGTGACCACTGATGAAGGACTAGAGGATGACCAACACAAACTGTGCAGCAGCAGATGAGCTATCATCTCTGACTTCTTCATCTGCAAGGTGGACTGACAAGGTAGGAGTGTCTAATAGAGTGTACAGTGAGTGGACACAGTGTTTAAAAACTCCAGCAGCACTGCTATGTCTGATTCACTTGTACCAGCACAACACACACTAACATACCACCACCACGTCAGTGTTACTGCAGTGCACATAAATGTTTTGAGTTTACAGCACACGAAAATGTGCTGAAATTATTGTCTGTCATAATCAACCATATGCCACAGATGCAGCAGACAGATATTATGTTTAGAAAAGCTGGAGTATCCCTTTAAGCTGTGCTGTTGAATTTCAAATATAACATTCGATTAACTACAGTGAGGGTAAAGCCACATTAAAGGCTCCAGGGGTGAAAATGCGGGGGCGGAGTGGTGCTATTCATGGCAGTTGTATTTCATGTATCTCCCCGGCATTTTGAATTAGAGGTGAATAAATTATCCGAAGTGGCGGCGACGTGCGTGAGGTATGACAGCCTGGGAGGTGTTGCGTGTGCCTGTTAGATTCTGATTTAGAGCGAGTTGGAGCGTAAAGTGCCATAGGTTAGTCAGCAGGGCATCACTGGGCTGCAGTGGGGAAGATGTATGCCTCTGATTCACCAGCCAAATAATTATATTGCACCTTTTTGCCCTGTCAGCACAGCCGTCTGGCCTATGTCTTGCAGGAAAGGGTAGAAATCATCCATGGGGAGAGAGTCTGAGCAGGCTGAGAGCATCCTTTGGCTATAATATAAAACCACTGTAGAGTTCCAATTTGGCAATAGAGAAGTGGCCACTTGTATAAAGTAAGTTAATTGGAATTTTTGCCACCATTTTAATTCAGTGTGTGAACTTGTGATGGAGTATTCATTCATTCCAGTCCAAGTGATTCAGTTGAAAAGCCTAATGAGTAAGCCAAGCATGATAGTGGCAAAGAAAAACTCCCCAAGACCAAGGTATGAGAATAATAATGAATAAGGGAGTGAATAATGATAATATACAATAATGTATAACTAATAAAGAAATAGTGTGAGGCAGGTGTGTTGGAGTGAATAGTTTTAGTTAGGTGGTCAAACTAATATGTTTATTTATTTCTTATTATTTTTTTAATGACTTCATTATGTCACATTTCATAGCAAATGAACCACCAGAAAGGTCTAAAGACACTTGGATGAAAATCTCATCAAATTAACCTCCAGAATATTAAAAGATATAAAAAAAACTCCTAACAACCTTCAAGACCTGGTAGACAACCAAACCTTAACTATCACATAAACAGTAATTAAAGGTAAATCTTTGAAAGATAAGAGACAATCAAGCTCCACTCTTGCTCAGATCTGAATAAACCACAGGTGTTTCTGTCCATCTTTCCACTGTGAGAAGACAAATTTTGCAGAATTTGCAAATGAATCAAAGAAGCTGCTGGTGTTCAGAACAATGAACTGACCTTTCCACAGTCTAGACCTGAACATCATTGAATGCGTTTGGGATTACTTGGATAGTGAGAAGCAGAAAAAGGTACTATTTAGGTGGTGGATCATTCTCAGCACTGCAGTAACACTGACATGGTGGTGGTGGTGTGTTAGTGTGTGTTGTGCTGGTCTGAGTGGATCAGACACAGCAGTGCTGCTAGAGTTTTTAAGCACTGTGCCCACTCACTGTCCACTCTATTAGACACTCCTACCTTGTCAGTCCACCTTGTAGATGTAAAGTCAGAGACGATAGCTCATCTGCTGCTGCACAGTTTGTGTTGGTCATCCTCTAGTCCTGCATCAGTGGTCACAGGATGCTGCCCACAGGAAACTGTTGGCTGAATATTTCTGGTTGGTGGACTATTCTCAGTCCAGCATTGACACTGAGGTGTTTAAAAACTCCAGCAGCACTGCTGTGTCTGATCCACTCAGACCAGCACAACACAAACTAACACGGCACCACCACATCAGTGTCACTGTAGTGCTGAAATTGTGCCTATGTGGTAAGTATAGGTAGGAGGTGATAAAATGGATGATGAGTGTAGAAACAAGGAGGTGGTTTTAATGTTATGGCTGATCAGTGTGCCTTTTCAAAGAGGTCCCAGATGATACATTCAACAAAAAGAATGAGATCATTCCTTATCCTGTTATTTGACCTGTGGTAAAATACACATCATATTATACAGGGCATATTATGTTTATTAAACATATTCATCAAGAACACAAAATGAAGAAATGTATCTATATAGGAAGCATCCCATTTAAGCTGTTCATAAAACAGTATATTCAAGTTAGGCTGATTTGATTTTGATGCCTTAAAATAGTACTTAAGTGCTCTACTTGCATTTCCTATTTGCATAAATATTGAGTTCATAAAAAAACTCAATTTAAATATGATTGACCGCTGGCTTACTTGCCTAGGAGCAATAGGAGGAAATAAGAGGCATGTGAGATGAGAACTGGCATTTCTTATTGATCTGATATGGAAGATCTAAAACCTGTCCTTACACTAATCTCTCTGACTACTCTGCCAAGCAGTGATCAATGTGTAAAATGCTCAGGAGGATATACAGTCAGTCAGGAAGGCTAAATCCACAGCAGTGGTCTTTTCAAAATAATAAAAAAGGAAGAATTTGATAAGAAACTCCTGCAGGGTCTTCAAACAGAAAAGTCTTTCATGTCTTTTGAGCTAGAGTCTCCTTGTCAGAATCAATTCTTGAAAAAAAAAAAGATGTCGGCAAACACAAAAGACAAAGTTTTGCAGTATCATTGTCACTGGATGGAGAAAGCAATACAGATTTCTGATAAGAACATATACCCTTTTAAGAGTTGGTGAGGAGAAGAATTGGTCTTTTCATGGTATTACAGTCAGTGAAGAGGGTTCATCTGATATCCACATTCACAGTGGGCACTACCGTCCCCCAAAGACCTCACTGACAATAGCAGCTAAATGTGAGCTTAACATCCGGTTGCCGGGATGGTTTCCATGTGCTCTTGCAAAGAAAGGTTGACATACAGTGGTAGTCTGCTTATTTCCAGAGGTAAAAATGAGCTGTGTTGGACAAATGTGTCTCTGCTGAAGTCAAAGCAAGTATAAATAACTTTATACACGAAGCTATGGCTCATCTCAGTAAGGTTATATACATTCATATACACAGATCAGGCATAACATTATGATCACCTCCTTGTTTCTACGATCACTGTCCATTTTATCAGCTCCACTTACAACATAGGTGCACTTCGTAGTTCTACAATTACAGACTGTAGTCCATCTGTTTCTCTGCATACTTTGTTAGCCCGCTTTTACCCTGTTCTTCAGTGGTCAGGCCCCCCATGGATCCTCACAGAGCAGATACTATTTGGGTGGTGGATCATACTGAGCACTGCAGTAACACTGACGTGGTGGTGGTGTGTTAGTGTGTGCTGTGCTGGTCTGAGTAGATCAGAAACAGCAGTGCTGCTGGAGTTTTTAAACACTGTCCACTCACTGTCCACTCTATTAGACACTCCTACCTTGTCAGTCCACCTTGTAGATGAAGAAGTCAGAGATGATAGCTCATCTGCTGCTGCACAGTTTGTGTTGGTCATCCTCTAGTCCTTCATCAGTGGTCACAGGACGCTGCCCACCGGACGCTGTTGGCCACCACCACATCAGTGCTGAAAATAATCCACCACCCAAATAGTACCTGCTCTGGGGGGGTCAATGGGGGTCCTGACCATTGAAGAACAAGGTAAAAGGAGGCTAACAAACTATGATGAGAAACAGATGAACTACAGTCTGTAATTGTAGAACTACAAAGTGCACCTATATAGTAAGTGGAGCTGATAAAATGGACAATGAGCGTAGAAACAAGTAGGTGGTCATAATGTTATGCCTGATCGATGTGTGTATATATATATATATGTATGTATGTATATATATATATATATATATATATATATATACATATATATATATATGATATATATATATATGTGTGTGTGTGTGTGTGTATTGTATACATATATTGAAATATATTTGAATATTTGAAACATTTCCTGAAAGAGTCTTCTATTGAATCTCATCCAGATAAATACAAGCACAAACATATGCCCATTCCAGCCAGGTAGAGGAGAAAAAAGCCTTTATTTTCTCCTCCTGCTCTGTATCTGGCAGCAGTATGTCGACATTTTGACTTTCAAAATGACATTTTCTCAAACCTTTGACATAATGTCTTGAAATAATGACTTATTATCTTCCATAACATATAATACCTCGTTATTTCGAGATAGCACGTCTAAATGTCGAGAAATTTAATCAGTTAGAGGTGCTTAAAACGTTGCTGCCACAAACAGAGAATTAGGAAAAATACAGGCGTTTTCTGTCACTCCCTACCAGAAATCACAACAGGTTTTGTTTTCTGTCAGACCCGCATGTCTTTTAGCCGCTAGATGGCGCCGCTCTATTAACGCTTGCACTTGGCAGCGTTTAATCCTCATAGGCTTCCGTAGCAAACCGATCACATGTTATGCTGTCACCTGATTACTGAAGTTACCCGCATAGCAACTGGGGTAATAGTGCAGCTTTTCCACTTTCTCAAATTAGTTTAAAAATATTTTATTCGTTATTATGGAGGCAACTCTAGAGCAGCACCTCGACGACACGTGAGTGTGCATTTCAGTTATTACTCTGTCGTTGTTTCTCTGAGCTGTGGTGGTTCGTACGATTCTGAATTTAGCTTCTCTTTAGACTTATCGGTTCCTCCTTAAATGGTGCAGCAGTTACATTATGGTGCTTAGGCTTCGGGTTCGTGTCTTTTTTGGGTGGAACTGCTGCACCATTTAAGGTGGAACGGATGATTCCGGTAAGAAGCCAGCTTCAGCCTCACTGGTTTGTATGGTGTGATTGGTTTTTAATGTTTCGCTGTGTTTACTGTGTTTCTGAAGCCTGTAACATCTACAAATGTGTTTCTTTATGTTAGAATGAAAAATCCTGCTATTGTTGGGGTTTTATGTACGGACGCCCAGGGTCACAATCTTGGATGTAAGTATCACTCAGTACTGTATAGTAAATTACAACTTTTTTTCTTACGAAAATGTTTGGTTCCTCTTTAACACCCTTAAATGGCCAAAGTTTTATTACACAATTCTATAACTTAACAATATGTTTGCATTGAAGTCCCTGTAGTTACTCAATAATAAGCCTTAGTCTGTAATAAGCCTGGGTTTTATTGGATTTTAACTTGCATCTTTTTTCTGGTTTAAATGACCATGTGTGAATGCCCCCTCTACTTTTGACCGGTAAAGTAATTTTACACTATCAATTTTTCTAAGAAATGTGGAGATTTGTCCTAGTTTGCCTAAACGGTTATTGCTGGCATGTGCAGATACAGCAAACTTTTAAGTGTAAGCATTTCATATATTGTTGTTAATAACAATGAAACCAAGCAACCCTTGAAACCCTTGTCATGGGTCCAGCAAACAGCATATCACATCACTCATTTTATTCATAAATGGCATACAGCCCTGCCTAACCTCTAAAGTCTTATCACATGAGTTCTGTCATATCTGGAAAATGTTGCTTAAATACTTCCCTAAAATTCCACCAAGTATCCATCAGATTTCTCAGCCGTGTTTGTAATTAGCCAGGAGACATTTTGCTTCAGTTGTGTTGCTGATAGAGTGAGTTTGAATGTTTAGAAGGTGTTTTAATGTTTCATTTGGATATTTCCACACTGCAAGGTTTACATCAGGGATCAGTGATGGGAGGAAGTAGAAACAGTAGACTGTTATTACCCAACTTTTTTAGGGGATAGTGTAGAATACATTCACAGTTCATTTCTGATGCTCTGTCAGTTTGGAGTCACGTTCATAGTGATGTTTTAACTGTCCAAAACCAAGAAAAGTCCCAGAGTGTCAGTGACTGGGTAGTATTGAGGGGGGAGAAGTGCAGAAAAACCAGACTTGAGTGAAAGTAAGGGTTTCTCTATCAAAATTTTACTCAAAAAAAGTGGAGGTATGGAGACAAAAATGTACAAGGGCTGAAGCTATAAAAGTATCGACATTTCAACAAACTCAAACATCAGAAAGTAAAAAGTAGATGTTGTAATGAATAAATTAAAAGTTTTCTTTGGTGGTGTGTGGTGTGGTGACTAATTATCAGTACTGGTCTTTGTACAAAGACTAGTTAGCAGAGTTGAGCAGTTTCATTGTACACTGATGTGAATTTGGTTGGATGTTTTAATAAACACAGTAAATGAAAGCAACTGATTGGCAAGAGTAAAATAGAAAAAATCTCCTGGCCTTTTGAAATGTTTTTTTGAAATACTCTACTAGAGTAAAAATAACTGTGTACTTTTACTCAACTACATTTTCAAAGGAATATATATATATATGTATTTTCCTTTGACAATGTTTTTGAGTAAAAGTACACAGTCATTTTTAATAATACTCTAGTAAAGTACAAATCTCTCAAAAACAACATACTAAAGTACAGTACTAACTCAAGTATTTTCCATCCCGGATAGTGTTTAACTAATCAGGATTTTTAAAGCCTTTTAAACTATTCAAGCTGATTCAAACCAGTGTGTTGATTTCTAACAGGATAACTTGGAGTTACTTTAAGTTTGAAGAGTAGAAAAGAACTGTGTTTTTCACTTGTCGTGTGTGCCTGCAGGCCGTGGCTCCCTGTCTGATGAGCATGGAGGAGTTGTGTCTGTTTTGGCTAAACAGGCTGCCTCTCTAGCTAAAGACCCAACAGACTCCCCTACTGTGTGTCTTGAGTCTGACACTGGGTAAGATACATGTACCGGCTTATATAGTACTTCATACAGCTTCTAGTTCATTAGGCACACTGTTCACTGTAATCCCACTTTGTAGGCTTGCTTTTACTAACTATAGTCCATCTGTTGCTACACAGTTTATCGCTTCCCCCCCATGTACTCTGGTGGGTGGACCATAGGATGACTAGATATTATTTGAGTGGTGGACCATTCTCAGCAGAGCAGTGACACTGACATGTTAGTAGCATGTTAGTGGATGTTGTACTGGTGTGAGTGTATCAGACAGTGTTGTGGCAAGTTTTTACACACCTCATTATGCTTGTTTCCATTAACCCTACTTTTGGTGATAAAAATGCTTTATTTATTAAAGTCATGTCCTGCAAAAGAATTGCTGTTGTATAAGTCTTGGTTTATCAATCAAAAAGTTGGAATTGATATGTTTTCATCTTTAATTCCATGTGTACCTTTTTTCTTTTTCTCAAAAAAAAAAAAATCTAATAGGACATCTCTTAACAATTAACAGCTATCTATTAACACATTTTCTGCAAAAGGTGAACGAAAAAAGTTTTATCCACATTCATATTACCATCAGTTTCTATTTCCATAGCCTACAATGACAAATATTTTGAATTATTAAAGCATTAATGTTTTTTGTAAAAGTGGAAACATAGCTAGCTAGTGTCACTGCTAGGTTAAGAATAGTCCATCAACCAAAATATGCATGGAGATGAACTATAGTCTCTGACTGTACACGTACAAGTTCTGCCATCAAGGTAAGGTTAGTAAAAACAAAACTTTAAAAACAACATAGGCTCATCTTCAGTGCAATGCTAAGCTTAATTTAGTTCTAAAGGCACTGGCCTATGATGGATAGCCTAACTTGACTTTAAGTCCTCAGTTATCATCCAGCTGCTCAATAGAGAGGATATATTAATATTTCCTTTGAGTGTTACGTTTGAAATTTTTAAACTTTATTTTAAATACAGTGTCTGTAGACTAGTTTGTGGTAGCGATTCATGAGTGTACACTGCTTTCTGAGTTGACTCTACAAATGTTGTCTATAAAATAGTTAAATATATGTTATTGTAATTATTTTTAATTATTGTATAAAACTATCTATTATGTACTTGAATAATGCACTTTATTGTTGCAGGAATGTGTTGGTGAGAACACACGGAACCATCACAGTAGCTGTACACAAGATCGTGTCATGAAGTCTTCTGGTTTTTGCCACTGAACTGTAACTCTGCATGTACACATACTCATGATCATTGTTTTTTCATGATTTGCTCTGCTTTTAACCTTTTTTTTGTTTTTGAGTGGTTAAGAAATTTTTCAGTACGTATATTGTATATTTGTTTGCTAATGTTTTGATAACTCAGCTTTTTCAGTTTTTGTTCATTCAATAAATTATTAAAAAAAAACAAAAAAAACCCCAACAAAACAAATCCTGATTATTTTAGCACAAGATGTTAGGCCTGACAGTTAACACATGAATTACTGTTAAGTATCTGAAGTGCTTAATGTAGTAAAATTCATAACACAAAGGATACTATTTTAGAAGGATAGTTGTGCTCTATATTGAAAAAAAGTCTTTGTTTTAAATGTTGTTTGAGTCGGGTGCTGTTTGGGAAAACATCCATTGAGAGAAAAGAGACAAGAAAAGATTAAAAAAACTCAGAACCAAGGAGCTGCTTAAATTAAAAAGTCTTTTTTGTATTGACATGTCCTGGCTGGGCTCATCAAAAAGCCCATATGTGGCAGCTTGTGCCTTCTTCAGGGAATAATACAAATAAGCTAAAGGAAGGTGTGTATATATACATGCCAGGTTCATTAGTCAGGCACAAACACAGATGTCTGATCAGTCAGGTGAAAGTTGAGCCAACTAGACTAATTAACTTGGCCTGTATACAAACACGTTTATTAAGCTTATTTGCATTATGCCCTGAAGAAGGCATGAGCTGTTATGCGTGGGCATTTTTAAACAGCCAAGCTAGAACATGTCAATGCAATAAAGAAGTTTTAAGGAGTGCCTTGGTTGGGAGAGTTTTTTCCTCACTCTTTTTCCACAGTAAACAGATAACCTATTCTTAATAATGTAGTTTCCAACAAACCTTTATGCACTGACTGTGTGAAGTGTGGAATATATGTTTTCTGTTTCTGACGTGCAGCTCAGTGTACAGGACTTGCTTCCTTCTTGATCAGGATGGACCTGGAGAGATGGAGACTGTGGTCGTACAAAATGTTGCGCTGATCTGTAAATATAAACTCACTATAGACTGTTTCTCTGTATGCTTGATTAGCCCTCTTTCACCCTGTTCTTTAACGGTCAGGACCCTCACAGAGCAGGTATTACTTAAGTGGTGGATCATTCTCAGAACTGCAGTGACACTGATGTGGTGGTGGTGTGTTAGTGTGTGTTGTGCTGGTCTGAGCGGATCAGACACAGCATTGCTGCTAAAGTTTTTAAACACTGTTCACAAACTGTCCACTCTATTAGACACTCAACCTTGTAGATGTAAAGTCAGAGACAATAGCTCATCTGTTGCTGCGCAGTTAGTGTTGGTCATCTTCTAGTTCTTCATCAGTGGTCACAGGATACTGTTGGCTGGATATTTTTGGTTGGTGGACTTATTCTCAGTCCAGCAGTGACACTGAGGTGTTTAAAAACACACCCAGACCACATCAGTGTCACTGCAGTGCTGAGAATGATCCACCACCCAAATAATACCTGCTCTGTGGTGGTCATGTTGGGGTCCTCACCATTGAAGAACAGGGTGAAAGGGGGCTAACAAAGTATGCAGAGAAGCAGATGGAATACAGGCTGTAATTGTACAACTACAAAGTGCACCTGTAAAAGTAAGTGGAGCTGATAAAACAGACCAAGAGTGTAGAAATAAAGTGCTCAGTGAGTGTAGATCCAGCTAATTACAGCTATGGCCTTTGACTAGTCCTCCCATACATGTTGAAGTTATAAGAAGCATTTCAGCCTGGACTGTTTGGAAGGAGGCACAATACACGGCATCTCTATTTTTACAACACAATAACAGAAACAACCTCTTTAATTCTAAGGGGTAAAGAGGGGTTGGAGAATGGCCATGTGACCGTGAATTACAACTGTTTTAAGACAGAAAACCACACAAATGTCATAAGTGGACCTCAGCAGGAAAAATCATTTTAAATACAACACAAGAATAGTATGCACATTTTAGGTTGCTTAGTTGAAGTACCACTAGTTTCTCTCAAGGTGGCAGCAGTTGTAATACATTGTAACTACCCCAGCAATGCATTACAAATAAAGTGCCTGAACAAAGTACCCTTAAAGCACATTCAGGAATATTGAGAGAATCCTATCAAGATCCTTATCATTATACAGTTGTGCTGATGCAATACTGTTTGCATGAGCATTGAATTATTAACTCTTGCAGTTTAGTATTAATCCTCATTGCATTCACATTTCCACTCTCATGCATAACTGTAACAAGCATTTCTTGGATTTGAAATAATCATTGTTGAAATGTGAACGATCAGCCGTACCATTCATGTTCCGTTTCTGCTGAGCGCACATGTAGGCTGGAACAGTACATGCTCTGGATAACCTTTAACGGGAATCGAGATGATTAATCTGACCTCTTTAGTTTTTGGGATTTATTATCCATGAAGGAAGGTGACCTCTCTTTGGCCACATCCACTCCATATTGCACCATGACATAAGTCTGTGTGTTTCTACATGGGGCAAAGATCTTTTATCAGGGATGCATACTGCATTGATTAAAAGGTTCCGATTAATAGAACTTGGGACATTTTGGTTTTTCATTCGTTCCACTGAAATTCTACAGCCATTATGGACAGTTCCTTCATGCAAAGAATGAAGAGGTTATACTCTTAGCCAAAAGGGTTCTATATAGTACCCAAAATATTCTCTGACTGTGTAACAATAGTGAAACCCTTTTTGGTGCAGATACAAAACCATATGTAAAAGGTTAATTAAAGAACCATACATAACAGGTTTTCCATCATAGAGAGGAACCATGCAAAGAACCATTTAAGTGGTTCCTTGAGTTGTCTTGTTGGTATATATAACCACTGCCTTTACTCAAGAACACTTGAAGAACCTCCCTTCTTAAGGGTGTATGATTAATGTAAAGCTCAAAAACAGTAATGACGATCTAGGCAATGACAGAAATTAGACCTTAGACCAAACAAATATAACAGTATTAGCTGATAACTGGTGCCAAACAAATATAGCTATGGTCTTCTGCTTCCGTCTCAGGTTCTTCCTCTTGTGCATGCAGGAGTTTTAGGACTCATAGTTTCACTTGGATAAATGTATAGCATAAAACAAACTGTCCAAAGGAGTATTTGCCAAGGCACTTCAATGGGAGTGGTAGAATGCAATGGCTTATTACATTAACCACAGGTAACTACTTAAGTAATTTCCTGAATTATCAGATAAATGTAAGACAAGTGTTTTTGTCTTTTACGTGAGAAGATCCTGAGTATTATTGTAATCCATCTACATCCAGGATTTTGGATTATAATAATAAAGGTTATGCCTACCTCAAAGATAAAGGTGCCAACGAGTTCTTTGGAGCGATGCCATAGAACAGGCCTGCCAAAAGTGTAGCCTGCTGGCCAAAGTTAGCCTGTGAGGACATTTGATTTAACCCACCAGAAAGCCTCCTCACCTAATGAGAGAACAAACGTATTTTTAACACTATATACATTTTAAAATTGTACTTTGGAAGCATTTTAGTAACAAAAAATATAGTGCAGTGTTGTAAAATCCATGTTTGAAAGCTCAAATTTAATTACGCATTGTTTTTCTTTTTGGCTCTCAGCCCACCACAAACATTGCACTTTGGCCCCCTGATACAAAAAGTTTGGGCACCCCTGCCACAGAACAGTTATTGGTTGCCTAAAGAGCCTTTCACTGGATGGTTATTTAAGGAATCAGCTGAAACTGGGGGTGATCTGATACGTTTTCTTTAAAAACTACTAAGCTTAAAATTGAACTGTTTTTAATCAAAGCATTCTCATGATCCAGCTACTTAAACACTGTGCTACATTACATAATGTGAACATATTGTATTACAAGCTAAATGTAAAATAAAATGGGATTCTTTTTTTCAGTATACACTGTGCCATCTCTAGTTACATACTAAGCAGACTAAGCATACTCTAGTTACATACAAGCCAAGAACCATTTAGGAACCTTTATTTTAGGAGTGTAGGTGCTTCAGCATCTCCTCATGTCTGCTGTATCTCTGAAGTAGACATGACCTCTACACTAAGTCAAGACTAATGACACAGCCAAGTTGCAGGAGAGCCATTGCCCCGCTTGTAAAGGGTGAAAGTGTTGAGGCTGCTCTGGAGCTCTTGGCCTCTGCAGTAGGTCTCACGTCGAGTCTTATGGTGGAGATTGCAGTCACGTGGTGGTGAAATTCTCCCCAGGGCTGCAGTGCCCCAGTCCGAGGCTGCAGTGAGCGCAGGAGCCATGTAGCACAAACTGAGAACCCCACCTCACACAGCTCTTAGAGCGGGACAGGCCAAACGAGTCGGACAAAACTGCAGAAAAAAGCAGCCATGGTCAGGCATGACATTAGTACGGCATGTGGTGTTAGAGCGGTAGCTGTGCTGAGGGTCTGTGCGGATGGGGCGCAGAGTGGAAGTGTAGATGCCCAGAGGAGCAGAACACTCCCGAGCTGCCTGCTGCACGAGTGACCACAAGGAGGGACATATCGATGACCTTTTCCACACAGTAAGGTGATATTCGTCCTTTTTTTAAACTCGTTACAAACTGTTCTGTATTCGAGGACAAAATGTGGCCTCGCGTTAAAGTCACAGTGATTTTATCAGAGCTGGGTAGGTGTTTTTCAGTATTGAGAACTCTTTTTTTGTATTTTTCTGAACATATTTAAGTGAGAATTTTAGTTATTCTTGAGTTTATCTACTAAAAATCGACTTTTTACTCAGTTTAATCCTTAACATTTGCTGAGTAATTCTCTTTTTGAATATAATGTTATTCTGTTGGTTGCTGTTGTTTAACCCACTCACTTTCGAGCTTTAAGCTTTTATTTCAGTCCAAAAGGCTCACGAGACGAGAAGAATGACGGCTAACAAACTCTAACTTGCTCTTGCTCATAGATGCTACATGTTCTGTGAAGTTCCACTGCAGTTCTGTTGGGAACTCAGTACTCGAGGGGCTGTTTCGGCAAAATGTTTCCTTCGTCTCGTTATTTAATTAAAGAAAGTACAGCCTACTCGTTCTGTAACTGGGAGAGGCTGTATGCCCTTTAGCCACCTCCTCACACTGTGAGGGAAAGTGAATGTATCGTAATGCTGAGACTGAGGCGCCTAAGGGAGAATCGAGCCCTGACCGGGGCTCCCCTGATCACGTGACCGCAAGGGAGTTGTTGGACCGGCTAACAATTTAAAGAATGATCCGTTCTGCTTCTGTACATAAAGTGAGATAACTCTGTTACGTTCTGTCAGCTACCCAGTCGCTGGTGTAATTCCTAATTATGCTGAAGGGTTGCCTTTTGCTCTCAGGTCTGAACTGAACGTCCACTGGTCGGATGGTGCGCTGCTCTGCAAACACTGTGGACAACTGCGCCCGGACAGCTGGTCAGTACACTACTCTTGTTCCTTTTATCCCTCCCACCTCACGTTGGAGAGGGTAAAAAATACAATACATGTGTTCTTCTTCTTCTTCTTCTTCTTCTTCTTCTTCTTATTATTATTATTATTATTATTATTATTATTTCTGCTCCTGAATTATAATTTAGGTCATTACCTTATGATGAAGTCCATCACAAGCACAGTTATTTAACAAAGCAGGATTTCTCAGATAGCCTATAACTTGAACCCAAAGTCAAGGCTGTCCAATGGGATGAGAGGTCAGGGACACTACTATTGGCCAGTTTTCACATGGGCTTTAGCATACTTTATGCATAGTAATGCATTAGCATAGTAATGCTTTTTTTATGAAATCCCCCAAGTGTGTTAGGCAACCCACATTATGGAAAAACAGTTTTCCTCACTTTTCTGATGTAATCATGGTTAAAGTTTCATAACATGCCTTTCATTCCCCTAACTAAGCTGTTTCAGTTAAACATTTTTGTGATGTCACAGAGTCTAACGCATCTAAAGAAATCCACCTGTTCTGCCTACAGCAGTTTAGCTCTGCAATTGTCACTGAAGTTCTAAGAAGTGTTTTAGAGTCCTTTTTGAATTAACCACAACTCAGAGAAGCAAGTGAGAACAGAGCTTATTTATGTATATCAGTCTTAAAAAGGGGGCAGAATCAAAGAGAGCCTGTTCATTTGGAATGAAGATAGGAAATGGTCGCTTAAAAATTATGACTGTTTTTGGTACATAAACCCATCCAAACATCATAAGTGGACATCGAGGACAAAAAGATGATGTGGCCCTTTAAAGCAGGAAAAACTTGCTAGTTAGTTAGGAGACACTGTCTAAATATAACTGCATTCCTAACATTATTTAAATCACTAATCTTGTTTAGTCTGAACGTGTATGTAATTGTGTTCAAAAGAGAATAGAATCATTATAGAAAGTGGTACTTTCTTTGTTATACGTGTTTGACCATGAATTTTCTGTATTTGGTAATTTTCTCACAAAGGGAGCTAGTCATCAGAGGAGTCAGCGTCACTTTGTATGATGAATAAACATGCATTAAACATGCATTTAACAATATGTTAGATGGTCCTGTGAGGTCATCTGAAATGAAACATTAAAACACCACTGTAATGTTGTAATTAACCACTATACAGTATAATAGAAGGGTGGTAAATTTCCCACGTCATTCCCATACAGTTAAAGGCTACATAATAGCCTAAGAACTCTGTCCAGCTACAATTTCACAAAGCAGTCCTGTTTCTTTGAACTAAACTGAACTAAACTGAAGGCTGAAGTGAGAGATATTACGTAGAAAGTAAGCATAACCAGCATTTTACACAAAAGCCAAATTTGAACAAACTTGTTTGTTTTTCCAGCTCTTGCTGTGACTGCTGAACTACACGCAGTGTGAGGAAGCTGAGGATCCTCATTCTCTCGTTTGGTTAAGGTTACTGAAAATTGACAAACACAGAGATACAGGGCTAACTAACCAGTTAAGCTGGTTTGTATAGTCTATGAAAACACTCATTTTAATTCAAAACAAATTATTATCAAACACGGAAATAACATGGAGGACACAAATGTTGGTACTCGTGAAAGGTGTTAGAGTGAATTCCACATGAATAAACAGAGACAAAAAATAATGGCAAATGGCATTTTTTGGTATAATAGCAGCTTTTTAGTGTCTGAGTCAATTGGCTTATAACAGGCTTCAGGGACAACAGCTGAAAATTAGCCACTTGGCTAAACCTGACACATTTTGTTTTGGGTTTAATGTGCATTGTCTCTGACTTATTAACCAAAACTGCATTAATAACTTAGTGTGGGCATTAATTTCTGTGTTACCCTGGGAATGTTCTTTCCTTCGAACTGACATCACAGTACAGAATGGCTTATTAAATGATGTTTTTGATGTGGAAGGCTCCTTTAAAAATGTCTGTGCACTGTTCCCTCTGCACTCCAGCACCACACAGGCCATCGGTGCAGTGGGGTGGAGATAAGAGCAGGGCATGTCCTCTGATACTGTAGTGAAGCCTCCTGCTCTACCTCCTCCCCCAACAGACAAACAGCACTCTCCTCCCTCTCTCCCTCCCTCTCTCCCTCCCTCTGGAAAAGCCTAGCTTCACTGCAGCATGGACATACTGTCTGCATTTCATTGCAGCACTGAGATGACAGAAAACGTGCTAATACCTCGAGAAGGACCACACGCTAGAGTAGTCTGGTTGTAACTTGCCTTGCAACTTAACAATGGCTTAGCACTCCATTTAACAGATGTCAAAACAAAAGCAGTAGCATTAAGGACTTCAGGGAGGTCAAGGCATACAAATATGAGAATTATATCAGAATTATTAGAATTTATTAACCTGAATTTAAAGAAGCAGTAGGCAAAAAAGTGAGTGAGAAAAAGTCTAGCTAAGAGAGCTGTGCTCCAAGTGGATGGCGTAGAAATAGGTAAGCCAAGCTTTTTGTTTTGCACCCTCCTTGGCCTCTCTCAAGGACAAGGGATGGATTTCACTTTGCTTCACACTTGTTTTATCACAGCCTTCTTAGGCACTTGCTGCAGCACTTCTTTGCCTGCTCATGAATTGTGTTTACATTGAGGAAGATGATAACAGTTGAAGAGCACCAAATACCCAGACATAGATCAGTAATTCAGTTTCTCACTTCAAACTCTGGACACTGAACCCCTCAGGGGAAAGAGATATCCATCACAATCAGCATGTCTGGGAATGACTCTTCTATAGATCTTCCTGTAAATTTCTGCTGAAACAGGTTTGGCCAGGGTGCAAAAGTTCCCTTGCAAACATATAGATTTTGTTGGACCTTTTACTTAGATCCCAGGGTGAGGTACTGATGGCTCAAGTCGTGTTGCTCTTTACTTATTTTAATTGTTACTGAATTGTTCTTGTGTTCTAGGTTTTGTGTTCCGAGGCCTTCAAGCTAAGTTCACAGGTCAGAGGATGGCACTAAGAAAATAGACTGTATACAGTTTCTTCATTTCTTCCACATTGCATCAAATATGCTACCCAAAGAGCACAACAGGTAAGACTGCAAACTATACTCTACTAGCACTGCTTGGTGAGGTCGTGAGGCTTTAATTCATTGATTTTATTGTTCCTGCTGAATGGATAGTATACACTTGCATGTGGAGGTCTGGGCACCCAAGTCAAATTACACGTTTTGTTGATTTTCTAAGTGAAAATAAGCTAACACATCCTTTATAGAGAACACACCTCAGCACATTTAATAATATGCATTCATTAATAGAACATAATACATAATTACTGCTTACTTGCTTAATTGGGCAACATATTGGAAAAAACATAAAATGTGACCTGTACAAAAGATATGGAACATTTTATATTTTATGTATTTTTTGCTCCTAATATACTAAACTCAGCAAATAAATAGAAACCGTGAAATAAAATTTGCAGAAAAATACCAGATTTAAAAAAAATTATGTTTGTCCAGTGAAGGACAGCAAATAAAAACCATCACACATTAGTAAAATATGGAATATTGTTTCTGAATAACTATAGCTTTACCAACTGTTAATGTCAGTTTCATTCATGTACTTATTTAAAACCAAAATACTAACATCTGACAGACACTAACAATGAGAAGATCCTTGTTTGGATTTTTTTTCTCTTTTTCATTTTAAAATCTGTGTAAGCATATGGGACAAAAATGTATTTGTCTTTGTTTACTAAAGGTGGCTTAGTTGTAACGCTGTGTAACAACTAACCCTGCAGTATGGAGGCTATACTTAGGCTTAGCTAGTACTTGCTGTAAGCTTGTCACATGCTTCAAAACAGTGCTACGTTGTAGGAAACAAGGTGGTGATAAAGTAATACAAGATTGCATTTTGTGATTTACGCAAACAGCTCAGTAACTGAAAAAAAACTTGTGTTGAAAAAAATTAATTACTTGCCCGAACACACTCTTTGGCACAGATCTCTTTGGAACACTCTGATGGATCGCTCTAGACCATGGCTAGGAAATGTGGTAATGTGGCCAGAGGCACACGCTGCTTGACCGTTTATGACAATACTAAAAATGTGTTTATATTGCTGTTAGATCTGTCATAAGTATATTTTTTGCAAGCAACAATGTCAAAGCAGTTTCCTTTGTTTCTTTCTTCTCAGTTTTGGTACTACTTATTAACATCATTAGGCTACTAAGTTTTAGCAGCGACCACCTTCCATCTTGCTGAGTGAACCCTGAGAAGTGTCCATTAGATAAAAGCCTGTGATCAGCATTTGTCACTGTCAGTAAATTAGAACTAGATTTTAACTAGTGTCCTACTTTTCAAGGTAGTTGTAGTGTAACTAACAACTGTTCACAGTGAGGTAATCCTTCTACAGATTTATTGCTCCCAGTACACACTCTAACTCAATTTTTGTCAAATATTCCCAATGTTGATTCTGTCAACAGTAACTGAACCTCTGTCAGAACCTTCTCAGTACTCTCTGTTCTTCACTCTTCTAAGTCCTTTCCCATATTGCTCTGTTTAACCATCTAGATTTCGGTCTACTGTCTGTCTTCTGTTTTTCATTACAGCAGCACTTGTCCTGGAAACTCTGCATCTTTTTGAGCTTCTTGTAGAGAGTCTTCCTGTTCTTGGAGAATGTTGAGCTAGTCCTTCCCCTGCTGCCTTTGCAGGCTGCAAACTTGACTTTATGGATTACTAGATTTTTTTTTACATGACCCCTTAACTTCAAATCTAATCGCAGAAAAATGCAAGCTATGCAGAAGACCTGTGGTTAAGCAGGGTAAAGGAGAAAGCAGAGATTGTATTCTCTTTACATTTGGGTGACCAGTTTGTGAAGTATTTGCTTACCTTACACATCCTGTAAGACCTGAACCACAGGGTATGAACAAAATACTAGAATCGCAGTTATCATTCTGAGATTGCAGTGTGCTTTGCAGTATATTAATAACTGCACAAATAACTAATAACTGTGGTGAGACATGGTAAAAAAATTGCTTTATTTTGAGCGAAATAATTTACTTTTTTGACATACATAAGGAATTTGGTTCCAGCCATTGATGTCTCTCTAGAATTAAATGCAATATACAAGCAATATACAAATAATTCACAGACAGTACATAATATACAATATACACAGTGTACACAGAATACAAGCAATATGCAGATTCTATATGGACAAGTAATATGCAGACAATGTAATTAATTACAGACAATACACAATATACAAGCAACATACGGATTATGTAGGGGCAAGCAATATACATAAGTGTGTGTAATAGACTGCAATATCAGTGTTGCAAAAGCCAGTATTACAATAACGATTTGGAAATTATATATTGCACAGCTCTACTGCAGTCCTTTAGAGTGTTACACATGTTAACCTTTTAAATGGCCACAACCGGCCAGTGTGTCCAAACTTTTATTACACTGTTCTGTTGCATTACTACAATTTAACATTGTAGTCCACATAAATACTCAGTAATAAACGGCAGGATGTAATAAGCCTGGAATTTTAAGAGATTAATATTAGGGATGCACAATGACATTGGAATCATATCGGTATCAGCAGATATTTGCTTTAAAAAATTGTGATATCAGACCAATATTTTAAACTGGTATTTTATGATGTATTTATTGTACTCCATATGAGCAGAAATTTTAGGTGACTCCGGGCCACTGGCTATTTCTCTGTACTGCAAATTCATTTGGATCTAGTCCAAGTTTCTGCATTTTACAAATGTTTATGCATCAGCATTGGCAAGTATGTATATGAAAAATATTGGATATGGGCATCAATTCCCAGCTGCAAGAAGCACCATACGTGTCATATTGAGAAATGTACAGTCTTAGTAGATTTAGAGGAGAGAGTACAGCACTGTATGAGGCACCAGAAAGGTTTCTTTGTGTGATGCCGTAGCAGAACCACATTTATGTCATATTCTTTAAGCCTTTAAAAGGTCCTTTACAACCAAAAAAAATAATTCAAACATGGTTCTTTAGGAAACCAAAAGTGGTTCTTCTATGGCATCACACCCTTTGGAACACTTTGTGACACCAATTTTTTTTTTAAGAGTATAATGTGGCTACCACTGCTTTTCTGAAGCATTTGCTCCAGACTGTTCTCATAAAGTTTTAAAGAGGGCCACAGTAAAGATTAGGATCTGTAGACTGGGGCTGCATAGTATGGACAAAATACTAGTATTGCAATTATGTTGAGTTCCTGCATTGTGTGTATGTTAAAAACAGTAATATGACATGTAAAAGACTGGCCAGTTTAAAGAGGACTACAGTAGTACAGCACTCGGCCACAACTACGCCCACACACACACACACCCACACCCACCCACCCACACTCCTGTGAAAAGCACATGTAAAGAAATGCTTTTGCCTGCAACACACAGGCGCAATTCATTGCTCTCTAATCCGCTAAGCAGTTTCTGCCTGATTTGGACTAGGCCTCTCAACATGTCTGCTTCTGCTTGAGTTAACATTCAGAAACTCTTTACAATATGAACCGGCATTTTTTAATACTCCGGGTCAAACAATGTCAGAAGCATTCCTGTCTGATGTCTGGCTGTTGTTGCGTCTGGGTTTCAGAGTGTGTTGCTATGTAACTGTGTTGTTGTGAATGAACTGCTTTAACATCAATTCTAGATCAGTCATCATTTTTAGAACCTACATTGAACACAATCTGAAGCTTATGAACCCTGTCGACTTGAGAGGGTTAATGACCCCTGCTCACTTACAGTGTAGATGTACCTGTTGGCTGAGGCAATAGGCAGGTTTTGAGCTGCCTTCCTGTTTGAGGAGAGAACTGGATTACACCAGATCGGCTGGGTTCCACTGAACACCTTCAGGGCAAACACAGATGGGGAAAAAAAAAACTGGCTTGTGTTCATCTTTACACACTCCTTTTACAGTCTTGCTTGTGCTCTACTGTCTTTTTCTGATGGAATTTTTAGGTCTGTATATATTCAACTGCAAAGCTACATGTTTCTGGTATCACAACCCACAAAAGTACATACACCTCTGCATGTATACCAGGGCATATGCAAAGCTGTTAGTCAAAGTGAATGTGAATCAGAAATCAAACTCATTTTCATGCCGTACTGTGACATATTTCCTAGTTGAGTGTTTTCATCCAGTGATGGTGGGGTTGATGGGAGTGGAAGGTGAAACATGATACTGTCTCAACTGTTGAAACTGTTGTGGTTGTGTAGTTGATCTATTTGCTAACGGGCAATGACAGGTTCAGAATATCTGCCTGCTTTCACACTCTTTTTCAGAATCTGACTAATGGGCTTCAGTTCAAACGTTATAAAAATTATCTATTATATTTCTTTTCTGATTTTGTATGTGCTAAAGTAGCAGCATAGAATGGAAGGGAATAATACAGTTTTTGTGAAAAAAGTGCTGTTATTGTGATAATAGTATGCTTCTCAATCATTGTGTGGTCAGAAATAACTGCTGTATAATGGTTAATACAAACCTCAATTTCAGTTAGGTTGGGTCAGTAGGTAAAATGCAAATTAAAACAAGGAAGCAGTGATTTATAATGTTTTTTTTTATCAGCTTCATTGTTTTGTTTTTTTTCCATATGCTCATTCTAAAATCGATGCCCGCAGCGTGTTCCAAAAACATTTACATGGGTTAATTTAAGACTAGGAATGTTAAGAAAACATCTTAAACGTGTTGCAATCATGCTTGGGTAGAAAAGAAAACATCCAGAAAAGTCCTTGTCCTATATGGGCAAGGATAAGTCCAGACTTGCCACAAAAATATCAGCAAAAAATCCAGAAAAAAAATGTTCCTCGTAAGCAATTTTAGATGTTTCACCCTCTTCTGAGCATAAAAACAACGAAATATTTAAACAACTAAAGATATTTTGTTGAGGCATGAGCTCTTGAGCAAACCCAAGTAAATGTTTATTTAGATATTTTGTATTCAAGACACTACTGCAAATAATTCTCATCTCCGCTCAAATTGTAACCACCAGAAAAATGTGTAATGCTGACGGTGACAGTCTGCTGCCATCTGAGAAGGAAGATGATTAAAGATTTACAGTGACTGCAGAAGATGCGACCCTGCAAGCTCTGATAGATGCCTAGACTTTCATACACTTTCAGTAACTTAGAATACATTCAAACAGTTCTTGTTAAACAGTGAGGACACAACGTCTTACACAATGTGTCCTGATTAGACTTGTTTTCCTTTTGAATGTTGCCCTCCAGAATCTGTTATTGCTGCTAAGTGTTTGTGAGTGAATGAACTGGCCTGGCCTGGTCACTTTGTCTGTAGAAATTTACTCTGAATCTGAGAAAACACTATGGTCGTGAAAGATGTTGTTCCAATTTGCATTTCACACTTTTACTGTGGCCGATATTGGCAGTTGTTAAATGATAAAGCCATTTTCCACTAAAGCTAGCTATGTTCTAGAGCTGGGCGGTATGACAATATTTATCGTTATTGTGTACATATTGAGTACATTGTTGACCTTATCAGTACTCAAAAATCACTTGCTAACTGCATGTTTGAACTTAAACAGAGAGCAGAATGGATTTAGTGCAGCACATTGTGTAAAATGTTGAATACAAGTAAATGAGTTCATAGTTTTTGATAGTATTTTTAAAATGTGGCACTGCTTTGTCTGTTTTAAAAACGTCCTAAAGTATCGTGATATTACATTTTATCATATTGCCCACCTCTACTATGATCACTGAAACCAGTGAAAGCAACTCGAGATGCTGAAAAAAAGAGGTGGTAAAAGAGGTGAAATGTAAGGTGATACAGATATTGATTCCTCATGTCCACTGCCACTAGTTGTTGTTGCTGTTAAATGAGTGTCAATCACTGTGTGTTTTTAGCGAGGGCAAAGCAGCCAAACTCAACCAGTATGAGCAGAAGGTCAAAGCTGCCAAGAAAGAGGAGGAGTTATGTTACGTGAGTCCACCGGATGGAGGATGGGGCTGGATGGTGGTTCTTCACTGCTTTCTGGTATGTGCTGCAGAAATAGTACTGAATAGTACTGAAAAATGGTTTACACAGTTTTCCCTTTACTGCAAATGTAGTCCATCAGCCAAGATCCCATGTAAGCTTCCATTAGTTGTTAGCTGTAACAGCTTCATAGTTCATTACAAAACTAAAACTTCAGTGATGTCCTGGTTGATCTGACTAGATTGGGATAAGAGGACAATTAATGAACTAAATGAAAAAGGGGGGACAGTTCCAGTTTCATGTATTTCAACTATGATAACTGTTGTACTGTAATAAACTATTGTGAAGGCCGACTGATAAATTTGAGTACTAACTAAATAACTAAGTAACTAAGTAACTTTTTAACCCGTCCGTCCATGGTGAGTGAAGCTATGGAAAACTATTGAAAAAGAGACCCGTAGCCACAGAAAAAAGACCCCTGGCTATAGTCCAACACGAGATTCCAGGCAGCTCCAGTTTTGGAGAGACAGAGATGGCTGTTATCAACATATTTGTCATATATGGAAGGCTGAAAAAGTGACACAGTTTAAAAAAATTATGCACTATTTGTAGATCGCATGGTAGCCTGCCTTCAAGTAGACTGTATGCCTCTACAAATCAAAACACCTGGTAGTACGATTCAAGTCTGATGACCCCACCGCTGCTTTTAATCCCTTGACACTTGCACTTTTTTTCACACAACAGTATTCTCTAAAACTAGGTGAGCAAGTGGTAGAAGTGGTAAGTAAATAGCGACAGCCAGCGCCCTCTGCTGGCCAAAACAAGCACAACGCCGGACATCTGCTCATCTGCTCTGCTACAGGTCTTTCTTAGGACTTTCTAGTGTGTTTTTAATTGACGATTAAAAACGGGGACATTTTTGGCAATGGCTCCAGCCAGAGACAAGCCACCAAAAACAGGGACTGTCCCCAGAAAGTGGGGATGTCTGATCACTCCCTGCATACAGTTGTTTCCTAAGGGGCCAATAGACTTCTTTGGGCAGGGGAGAATATGTGATCAACGTCAGGAAGCTGTAGCCATCATACAGCAATTCAAACGTAAAAATGGCTAAACAAAGTATACTTACTTTTGCAGTGATATACAAACTTATACTGATATCTCATGCTCTATATGTCAGTATAAAAACACAAAATAAAATACTAATACTATACTATACTAATATAGTAAACATTCAGTAATTTTGTTGCCAATTACAATGGCATTTTTCTTTCCACTGTGTCCACAAAATTCTTAGTCTGCATTATAAAGATTTTAGTAAAATACCCCAGTAATGATAAATATGACGATAATTAAGAACAAAAGAGGGACTATTAATAACTGTATATTAATAACTGTAAATGATCGTAGTACGGTAAAGAGGAAAATGATTCCAGGACTATAACTAAACAACAAAATCCATTTTGGCTTTAATCAGAGTTTTAAATTGTAATTGACAGCCCTTTTGCAACTCAGCTATGTACTTTTTTCGACATCCATCCCACAAACCCCAAAATATCTCACGCAATTTCAAAAAGTGGGAGAGACATGTCCCCTTTGAACACCAGACCCCTCCCTAATTTGCACCAGCATCTATAGAACTAATATATATGTAACATTAACTGTAGTAATGCTGCCATTTAGCTTTGTGCTGTTTGCTGCCTATTAGGTGAACGTGTTGGTGATGGGGACCTTGAAGAGTTTTGGGATTTTCTTCGTAGCGCTGCAGGATGAGTTTGGTGGCTCAGCCGAGAGTATCAGCTGGATCGGCTCCATCATGTCCAGCCTCAGGCTCTCAGGAGGTGATCCCTCTCTTCTAATTAAGCCCAGAAAGCATTCCAGTTTACAGTTCTTTGTCTATGTATGAAGGTAATGCTAACTCCTGAAATGGCTTACTAAATGGAGCAGGCTGCAGCGTGTTTTATATATTTCTTTATTCCCAACCTCCTGGTGATAGCCACTTAAACTGTTTTTTCCCTCAGGTCCTCTGGCCTCTGTGGCCTGTGCTAAGCTGGGGAACAGAATTACCTCCATCATGGGAGCGGCACTGGTCAGTGCAGGCTTTCTTACCAGCATCTTTGCTACCAGTGTGGTCTACTTGTACATCAGCATGGGGCTGGTGGTAGGTAAGTATTATGGTTGTAGCACCTTTAGAAACCTGCAAAGAGGTGATGAGTATGTGATGAGTATGTTGAGGTCTGAACAAATGAAGCTTTGTAAATGGGCATTAAGGTCTGATACTTTAATGTGCTACTGTATGATGGTCATTGTATATAACAGTAACTTAACTGCTAATTTTGAGGTGTTCTATGTTTAATTGTATGTGCTATAAAGTTATAAAATTGATTAATTTGTTTTGATAACTTCTCCCAGGTCTTGGCTTCGCACTGTTATATCAAGCCACGTCTGTTGTTACCGCGACTTATTTCCGAAAGAGGTTAGCAACAGCATACTCCATTGGCCGCTCTGGCATGGGTTTGACCTTTGCCCTCGCCCCCTTTACCCAGCTGCTCCTGGATCAGTATGCATGGCAAGGTAAATATAATTCAGAGGACTAGGAGCTTTTCACTATCTGATGTGCTGTGTGGTGATTTTGTGTATTGTTCTGTTGGTTGGTGTATCACATTTTCATATACATAAAGATACAGATTTGTGTAAGCATTATTTTCAGTGCTATTTCTTCTTGGTCATGAGGACCAAAGTCTTTTTGACATATTCTTACTGATCCATGTCATGTATGTAAAAAATCCTTTAAAGTTAAAATCAAGATGAAATTTGTTTCTATGTTGGATCTTCTAAAAATATGATGTTCAGTTTTTTATACATGCACCTGGGTATTATGGGCAAGTGCAGCAAATGTTCATTAATTCTAGTCACATTGAATCTCTCTGACTGTCTTTGTCCAGGAGCTCTGTTGATTTTGGGTGGTCTGATGTTGAACCTGGTAGCCTCTGGAATGCTGCTGCGACCAATCCATGTGCGACCTGCTGCCTCCTCTCCCCCTTCCTCGTCTAGCCTCCGCAAAGGTCTGACAGGTTCTCTGAGAGGAACTAAGAAGGAACCTCTTCAGAACGGCCTGAACGTGACTATGGCTATGTCTAATGGCATTGCAAAAACAGAACCCTCTCCTTCTTTTCATGCTGATACACTTATCATAGAGAACCCATCCCTTGGGCAGAAAAACCTTCAAGCTGCGGAACTAACTAGCCTGGTCCAGAATGGTGTAAATGGACTGGACAGTGGCCCAGTAAAGGTTTACCCAGAAAGTAATGGCAAGACAGTTGTGGATTCATTACTGCATGAGAAGACTCCCCCCAAAAAAGCCAAAGTCTTGGACTTCTCACTCTTAAAGAATCCTTTCTTTTGCATCTATACCTGGTCGCTGGTCTTCAGCCAGCTAGCCTACTTCATCCCCTACTTCCACCTATCAGCGAGAGCTAGGAATTTGGGAATCGACCCCATGGATGCATCCTTCATTATATCTGTAGCAGGTGAGTATCGGGGGTTGGAATTCTATCCTGTATTTGATGATATCTGTAACTTAGAATCTCTGCTTCCTAATATATTTTGCACTAGGAATGATTTCATTAATCACTGTTTCAAGTTGATACATTTCAAATGTGTAATTTGACCAGTTTTATGTGGTTTGCAGATTTTCTAAGTGGAAATAAGGAAATAAACCTATCTACAGAGAAAACACCTCTGCACATTTTAATGTTTTAATGCAGAGTTGCTGTTTATTATCTGAAATTAACATATTGTTAAAAATAAAACATAAAATGTGGCTTGTGCAAAAATTATGGCACATGTTATAGTATCTGTAGTCTGTAGAGGATGTATTAATGTCTTTTCGCTTAGAACATCAACATAACATGTAATTTGACTTTTGAATTTTCCCATGACACACTCTATCTCTCTCTCTCTCTCTCTCTCTCTATATATATATATATATATATACAGACAGATAGATAGATATAATATATATATATATATATATATATATATATATATATATATATATATATAAGCCAGGGTATATGTGTAATTTTTTTTTCTTATTATATTTTTTTCAAAGTACATCTATTTTTATTATTTATTTTCAGTCATTACTGTCCATGTGTTTGCTTGTGACTAGGTAGACTTCTGTACAGACGTAATTACCAGTACTCATATATTGTTGCACTGGTCTAAGAGAGCTAAGTAGCTTTTTTAAATGTGTGCTAACCTAAGCAAGGGTTAGTTTGTGCAGTGACAGTTCTAGCAGAAAGTAATCAGAGGGGCCACAGTGATCTTTGGGCTTGCACATGCTTGTCTTTTGAGTTCCAGGCACAGACAGAGAGCTCTACACAGAAAACATGGCATGGTGCACTCGGACCACTGTACTTTGCTGTGACATATTCTAAAGGCTGGTTAAAATTAGATGCAAAAAAAGCACAACTCTGTCAACTTCTGCACATTAATTATTTGTGAGCTGCTCAGAATCTGCAGGCTTATGTAATGAATGTTCTTACATAAAAGCTGAACTTTACCCCAGTGGCCAGAGCTGTTGAGTTCAGAAGTATCCTATTGATGAAGCCACACTATACAAAAAAATAAGAATTTTAAAAAGAATAATAATAATAGCCATCTTTTCTCGAACTGTGCAAGTTCAACTATTATTTGGGTTCGATAATGTTTTTTCTCCTCATTTTATGGATAAATTGCAAACTGATTATTTAAAAGGTCTGTTTTATTTGGTGTAATAGTAAACACGAGTATTGCTCAGAATATATGCTATATTATTGTAATGTACTGGCAAGAATTTCACATTATGGTCAAACATGTGCCATACCAAGTAAAAGTATCAATTCAGTACCTAGAACACAAGCTGCAGCTTTTGTCTTTCATGAAAGCTGGCAGAATACACTGAGTCATAAATATGAGAAGTGGACTGGACAGGATCTACGGCAGACTGGGCAAGGTTTAAACAAAAACTCATGAAAAGTTATCAATCATTGTCTTCATAATATACAGTGAGCTAAGAGGTAAACATATAATCTAAGGCTAACATATAAAATGAGAGATAAGCAGCATTGAATCTATTACTGCATAGCATTTAATGTAGAATACAACACTAGAATAACACTACCGTAACCTGCTGTTTTAATAATTATAAGTGGGCTTGTGGCAGTCTTCTCATATAGACAGCGTGCATTGTGCTTTTACAGAAATGCAGTCCAGTGCAGCCCCTCCCTTTCAATTCAGACCTCTTTTCAAACGGGACAGCCCGGATCAGACCAGGCGAGTACAGCTCAGGCCTCTAAAAGCGGCTCCTGATGGTGGGCCGCTCACTGTCGCTGAACCAGGGGGAGTCGCTAAGCAACGGGCCGAGTGGCTGCCGTGGCGACAGCAGGGCTTCCCAATGCGGCGGCCAGCTCTAGAGTGGCTGACATTGTGCTGGGGCGCACTGAGGCAGCAGCAGTGCACAATAGCAGGGGGACGAGAGGAGCCAAACACGTTTGTGTTTTTAATGAGTGGGCCGGGAAATTGGACATGCATTCGGGCCCGCTGTTCCCCAGTGTTTGCTCTTTGTCTCACTTTGATGTAGTGGGGAACATTGCTTTTTGTGGCCATTCAGGGAACTTCATAAAAGGCATACAAACACCTGTCACATGCCTGATCACTGGACTGAGACAGTGCAGAGTAGGGCCCGACCGATATAACGTTCTGTAAATGTATTGGTGCGTAATAAAAAAAAGCCGTCAATAAGCATCAATATTGCTTTATGTATATACAGTAGTGTGTGTTAAAAAATTTTAATTTGAATTAGCAGAAACCAACAAACTTCTAAAAATTGCAAAGAACTTTGATGGCGAAAAATTGACAATCATAGTCAGTGAAGCACTGTTTTCTAAAACCATAATAGTATAAAGTTATCAAATCAGATATGTGGCATTTTATTTATCAGAATTTTTAGCTCCTTAAAACCCATGTCAGATTGGCGACACCATTTTCATATCGCTTAAGAGGACTGGATGGCAGGCTTGTAAAAGGAGGGGAAAAAGGGGTCTTTTTTCTAAGCTTCGCTATTGAAGTCTATTGTGTGGAGCTTGACAAAGACAGCTGTGAACCTCACTAGACCCACTGCAATTTAAACACACAAACAACTCGCCAAACGTCTCTGTACTCAAGTGGGGACGCACCGGGAGACTGCCTCTGGTGATGCGCCAAGGACACATAAACATTGACCAGCTGTTTCGCTTCATGTTTGACCACTGCTAAGAACCTCACAGGGTGTGCTGTAATACTGCCACTGCATTAAGAGTCGCGCAAACTTTTCAGAGTTGACCTCATTGACTTGCCTCGTCAGTAATGTAGCGCATGCACACGTCTGTATTTGCATGAGGCTCTTGACTGCATTTGGCACGGCTCCTTCCCTCATTCTGCAACTCTCCATTCAATTACCATTGTCAGGTCTAAAGAGATTTTTACTACACCACATTCCGCGATCTTTTATTTAACCCCTTAAATTTTGAGTTCTCAACTCCCAATTTCTTTGTCTACAACTTACCAGCTACATAACTCACATAGTCATTTCATAGTATTTACTTCACAATGATTCAGTATACTCTTAAACATAAATGTGGTTCTAAGAAAACCCCCACATTGTGTGTAGGTTCTTTAAACCTTAAAGCACCCCTAAAGACATAAATTAAAAACCAAATTATTATTGTATTACTGCTTTGGCCATAAAGCTTCTAAGAATGGCACAAAAGTGTCCCTAACCTCAAAACCTCAACACTCATTAAGAATGCTAAGACCAATGAATATGCACAGTTATGCAAATTGTAAATGCCCCCTTTTCTCTACCTTTCTAAACTGTCCCTTCTCCTCACTACCCTGCCCAGTGTAACTTTAATAATGCAAAAATTCTGTCTTTCTGTCACTCTGGCACCAGTCGATTTTACTTGCTCAGTTTTGAGTATTTATCATCTAAAGTTGCCTCAGTGCAGCATCAGTGAGCCAGAATTGCTGGTGGTTTAGCCTTTTTGATAAGCTAACAGTAGCTTCTGGTGCTAATGAGGATATGAATTAAAAGCAGCTTAAGCCAACAGTTCCACAAACAAAAAAACACAAGTTTTCCTTCTCTTTTTCAGTGAGGCTTCAGGGAGCCGGAATGAACCTGCGTGGTTGTGTGTACAGCTACATAGGCCTTCTTGTTAAGCTAATGCTACTTTCTAGGCTAACGTCTAGCGGCATGGCTGCTGGTGATATAGGCTTTCAAAATTTAATGCTGGTAGCATTTTTTGTCAATTTAATTCAGACTGTTAAAATATCCTGCTTATAGGTTTAATGCTGGTAGCATTTTTGATATGGTAATTTAGGCTGTTAAACCATCCTGCTTATAGTTTTAATACTCGTAGCATTTTCTGATAAGCTAATTTAGGCTATTAAAATATTCTGCCTATGATTTTAAAGCTGGGAGCAGTTTTAATAAGTTAGTTAATTTAGGCCTTTAAAATGTCCTACCTAAAATTTTAATGCTTGTAGCATTTTCAGATAAGTTCATTCAGGCTATGCAATTGTCCTATCTTTTATGTAGGGGTCTATTTAGACATCACAACAAGGTAGGACAATTTGTCTGGTGGCACTGCTGTGGGACGCGAGGGCTGAGACTACGAGGAACTGCAGATTAAAGCCGCTTCCCATGGCTCTTGTCGGCACTTAGGTGCTGGTCGCTGATAGTGGACCATGATAGGTTCAAGTGCATTTGTGACATTCAAAACTGAGCCACTACGTCGAGCCCTGTTAATCATTTTTTCGGATATACTGAGAAAAATTTGAACACTGTGCTATTGTAACATTTGACGTATCAGTCTGTATAACTGTAATAAGTCTTCCAAAGAACTTTGGAAAGGATTTTCACACTTATATCTTGTTTACAAAAGTCATTCCCTGAAAAGCCATCTATTGAAAAAGTACTGAATAATAGGTCTAAAGATCATTTATGAAATAATAAATCTGCCAGTTTTAAGTGGTTAATAAGTTGTTAGCATTTTGTAAAGCATTATAAACCTAAAACAATGCTACAGAGCCAAATGCTAAAAGTACTTATCATCATGCTGTATTAGCAAGTGCGCTGCTGTGCCTGCGACTGCTGCCACTGATCCATAAATGTTTTCGCTGTTGTTTTGTTCCATTGATCCCTGCAGCCGTGCTGCCTCAAACCCTTTCCTGAACCGATCAATAGCCCACTGCGGCATAGGCCTACAGTTATGATTTGCACAGGCAGTCACCCCGCCCCCAGCCACTGACATCAAAGAGCAAGGAATTAACTCCTTTAGAAACTGCTGGAGGTTAAAATTCGTATTATCCCTCCATTGGTTCTTTTCTGCACGTTCTGCAAAAGAAAAAAAAAACAGTTTGTTATACCTGCAGGACTCCACAGAGATAATAACATGTTTGAAAGCATCTTTACATGCACATGTGAAACACATTGCTGTGCAGGATGATCGGCTGGTTTTAAGGCTCTTGAGACTGGGGCCTGTTCTCTTTAGCGCTGGGTGCTTGGCTGATTGATAGCCTGCAGGGTCATGGAGCCGGTGATCCAAGTGAAGAGCCCATACAGATGTTAGGCCTCTTAAACCTACTGTTGGCCTTCAACAGCAGCTCATCCTTTTACACACTGTACACAGAGTGGCACACTTTAACAATGACACAGAGGTCACTCACCGCTGAGCGCAATTGACTGATGCCCTGAGTGACTTTTACACTAAGGCTGCAAAGCACTGTGCAAAAGTCAGAGATCACCCTTCATTTATATTTCCAGTCAAAATGGCCATTACGTGTTAGTTATTCAGTTTTCAGGAGACATTTTTTTAGCAGATTAGATATAAAATAATCTGCTTGCATAATGAAAGAGAAAGTCAAAGAAAAATAAGTGAAAAAATAGGAGTTTCAAAAATGGGGCAAGGCCTGTTAGACCACCAAAACTGTCTGGGATTTCTTGGATCATGAAAAACAGAAAATGCAACCAACTTTTAAGACTGAACTTTGTAGGTATGGAAAAATAACCCTGTAGATTTCTTTGAAAACTGAAATGACTATGTTTTCTGTTTTCCCCTTCTGCTGAAAAATGTATAACTTGTACTTAATGGTGGTTTTAACTGGAAATTAAATAAATGAGGGGTGGTCTCCAACGGTGCATACTAATGTAAATATTTGACCTCACAATTCAATTTAAAAATCTCACATTTCACCACACATTTAATTCAGTTCATTTGTTAGGTTATTGATGTTTTAAAAATGCATTTATTACACATATAGGCCTGGAGGGACTGCATACAAAGTAGAATGAAGGCATTAAAAATGGAGATTTTTATGTTTTAAAATAGCCTGATGATCTTATTTTGTCCACAAATGATCGAAGACTTTATTGTAATTGATTAGAATTGATTCAGACATTTCATGTGGTTGAATTACCACCCTCAGACTATGGCTGAACAAGACCCTGTAAAAAATTACGAAAAAAGTAAATTTAAAATCATAAGGCAACTTAGTTCAGCTTTTTTGTTCACTCAGTTTGATGGCAGGGGTTGATCTGACTTCTTTTGACTAATTTTTACAATACCACACTGCAATTCTATTGTATTTAATATGCCTTACAACAGAGGTGGGCAGTATGATGATATTTATCATTATTTTGACAGATTACATCACAACATGCTTTTCTGAGCATATTGTAGATGTCGTCAGGACAGCATATTGTAGATATTGTCAGGACTGAGCTGTTTTCTTAAAAAAAGATCATAATTAGGCTTGTTTAATTGATTTAGTACAGTGCAGTATATGCAATGTTGTGAAAAGTCATTGTATTCCTTTTTTGATAGTGGTGCTTTTTGGTGTGTTGTCTGTTTTTATCAAACTTCAGAAAAACTAAATATTGCAATACCTTATTCTGTATTGAGACATATTGTGATGTTATATTTTTGTCATATTGCTCCTTATTTTAAAAACGCTGGCCAGTTCTTGTTCAGACCAAAAATGAATGATATTTTTTGGATCACATGAATGCCTTTATTTATTCATATCCTATCAAGAAACGTTGAAGATTATTAAACACAATAAACCAGTTTGTCACTGGTTCTAAGGTTTATTTGCATATTGCAACCTTCTGGCTAATATTGCAAAAGCAGCTAACAAAATACTAAGCAACACTACTCCAGATCTAAACGCTCTGACGCATTTTTATATCCCTTCCCATTGCTGACTCAGCATAGGTAAATTGGATAAAGTTATTGGCACAGCTCTCAAGCTCCTACATGCTGCTGCTTAGATGACCCTTTGCACAGATGTAAAATGTGTCAGTGTGTAATGGCTGACCTCTTTCTCCTGCAGGTATAACAGAAACCATGGCTCAGCTGGCATCTGGCTGGGTGGCGGACAGGAACCTGGTGCATAAATACCACTATCACAAGGCCTATCTGATCCTATGTGGTGTAGTGAACCTGCTCTCCCCCCTCGCCACCTCCTACATCCTGCTGATGGTCTATGCAGTCTTTTTTGCCATCTTCTGTGGAGGCTACATGGCCCTGCTGCTGCCCGTCCTGGTGAGTACAAGACTGACACAAAGAGAACACAAACAGTGCTGTCAGAATTTAGTATAGTTTTAGCTATAATCGTACATTCTGAGGGTCGTAAACACATGAACACGTGAATTTCCAAGTTTACTGAAGGGAAATTGCACGAGAATGGCTGACAAAGTTGTAAATACAAGTGGTAAACTTGTATGTTACTCGAGTTTACGAGTTGTGATGGATCACCAGCCTGTACATTCTCTAATACCACGGCAATACAATAGACCAATACAATTGCGTGAAATTAATGAACAAACATAATGACAAATATATCAATGACTGTAAGAAGTCAGTAAGCACCCAACAATGCCTAATTTGTCCCTGTCATAATAAAACTTCACATCGCTGAAATACTAGCTGTACTTTAGAAGTAAAATACATTAACTTTTAATTTAAGTCAATATATACGGCTTCATTTGAAGTCATTTTGGAAACATACTGTTGGTCCATTCGTCATGAAAAGTTCAAGCACTGTAAAGGGCAGCCAGTCATGACCACCCAAATGCAAACAATGGTAGTTACGATTTGGTGACATGACAGTGTTGCTTTGATGAGTGGACAAGGGCCATCCAAAAGTACCATTAAGGCAAGGCACTGCAATCATTCCGGTCATTCCCTTCAAGGTTCCATTAATAATTTTCCAATTTTTTGACAATTGCATGTGTGACATGTCTTCTTTTAAACCACAATCATAAAAAATGTCAAAATGTTTATTTCAGCATCCTTTTTTCGGTTTGCTTCCACTTCTGTCTAACCTTATTCTCAAAAGTCAGCAACTTTAATGAATACAGTTGAATCATGTACTGTAGGATTAACTAGAATATCCAAATATGTCTATTTCCCTTGTATGAAACAATGAAAAAAATCACATCACGATAATATTATTTTATAAAAATAATTTTTACAGAGTATATCACGGAAGAGACACGATCTGTTTATAGTTTATGGCCCAGATTTGAGGAAAAATGGGTCAACTTTCAGTAGACAAAAAAATTGTGAGTTCAGCTTCTTTTATAATAAAGTTTAAAAAGTACATTACCCATCTATTTGACTGGAAAGAAGACAGTTACAGCTCTCATACGACACCCACCTTTTGATTGTAGCTTATGAAATATGAAAGTTATGAAGAATATGATGAAGTGCGTTTGGGAACCACCGGTGGTCTCAAGGAGTTGAAGAGGTTTTAAGTACTGACAATATCCTCAATATGCTCAGAAAATCTGTTCTATAAAATCCTTTCTCTAAATTGTGTCTTGAAATAAACATTTTAATTGTAACATCATTCAAAGGGTAGATGTTTTAAAATATGCAAATGTATGCATGTTTAATTAGGCAGTGTCTCATTTGTGTATATAAATGTAATGTTTTTGGAAAACTACGAATAAAACAGTACTCACTGGAATATCAGTAACCAACTGGCAAATATTCGTTGTGATATCTATTGTTTTAAAATAGATATCACTTGTAGTGTCTCGCCTTTAAGGCTCCAGCAGTGCAGAATGGATTGCAGTGTATTTTGGGGAATGTAGTTTTTCAGTCCACTCCAGTATTGATGAAGATGATGCTTAGCAAAGCCCCACATCTCATTAAATGCCCCATGGTTTTGAAAGCACTGTGCATGTACTTTTGCTGGTAGTGTTAGGTTGAGGTGTTGTTTTCAGTTGCTGAGACTCTGCGCTGCGTCCAGGGTTCAAATGTGGTGTAAATTGAGAGGGCTATCTTGCTAGAGTCCAGCTCTCAGGGCAGCTGCAGTAGCGGTTGGCTGCCGTTTGCTCACTCCTCTGGTTAGGTCGTATTTTGCCTTTCAAGTATTTTTACAACCACTTCAAACTAATTCCCACAGTGTAAGGCAGCCTGGGCACTCTGAAGATGGGGTCCACGTGATAAACGTCAGTCAGTCTTTGATGTTATGCTAGTCTTAAGAAAAAACAGTGCACCTGGGTGCAGAAAAGTCTGTAATTAAAGATAATGACGTTTCATTTCAGAACTCTGTATCTAACTTACAGATGTCTTTGAACACTCTTATTTCTTAAATGCTTTAAATCCCTTGTCCTGGCCTCGGCACAGTGAGGAGTGAAAGTAGACAGAAGAGAAATATAGCATATTACAATATAGTGAAAGTTAAAGAATTCTGGGAGAATTTATCTAGGTTTTATTTTTTATTGGAAAAGCAATCATTTCTGCTGACAGATCCTCAGTTGTAGCTGTCAGAGTGAAAAATGGAAGATTTTAAGTTGCCCCAAGACAGGTGAAAATTATGAACCTGAAACCTCAGGTATATTCCACACACGTATCAGAGTAAAAGGGAGTTGGCAAAAAGTGTTCATAAAAAACATACAGAAGATAAAGCCAGTGAGACGTTTTAAAAGTAGAGAGTTTCATAGCCAAGCTGAAAAGAAGGACATAACTTGCAGTGCTGATACAGTTTTAATATTATTTCTTTTTCTTGGTAATTATTACCTGTGGGATTGTTGTTGCAGTAGCAAGTCCTAGTTTACAGTCCAGTCGAGGGTTCCACCTCTCAGGATATTGGTGGGAAGCCGTGCCATCTTGGTAGTGTGCACATAATGAATACTTTCCAAAGAGGCACTTCAAAAGGACCTTTGACTTTCAGAATCTGGTCTAACCTTATATTTGGAGTGTATTGCTGAATAGATCACTTTACCCAGTAGAAAAACAGGCATAATCAGTCTCTAGATCAGGGGTGTCAAACCCAATCACTGAAAGGGCCATATTAAAAAATCTCAACAAATCTGTGTGCTACAGAATGTTTTTATATCATTTTAAAATAACTGTTAATTTTTTAAATAACAATTTCTGAGCTGCTGAGCTGAGTGTTTGTATTGCTTGACCTGTAGCTGAAATGCATCTAGTGTGTTTGGTGATATGACTGGTGTGGAATTGTGTAGAATTGCCTACAGTTGTGGTGTAACCGCTGTCCCATAGATTGTTGTTGGGGGAGGGGGGTGGGAGCGCACAGCACATTGCTGCGGTGCATGCTGGGGATTGTAGTGCAGCACACTGTGAAATGGGCTTATATCAATAGAAAATCAATAATAATTATGTGGGCCAGGTAGGATTGTGCCACAGACCTGATCTGCCCCACGGGCCTTGTGTTTGACATATGGGCTATAGATCATCCTATAGCAACTCTATTTCAAGATGTTGCCTAAGGGTAATAAACCCATTTTCCACACTTTACAGTGACATTATACACATTCAGTGACATTAAAAAGCTTAATAATGAAGAGACTCATAAAAAGCTTGTACATGGTCACTGGATCTCTTGGTATGCTGCAGAGAAGTTTGCACTGGACAGTTCCCCTCAGAATAATGATTTTTCATCTATTTTTATCCATCAGAAAACAATTTGAATGTGAAGTTCATTATTTAGCTTTCAGTATCGTATAAATGATTTTTATGTTATGAGAAACTACTTAAATATATGCATCATTCTACCAAATTAGTTCAAAGTCAGAGTTAAAAACACATTTTGGACTTTTAACTTGTACTTGGACTGGGACTAAAATTCCTTTTGCTTTGAGTGACCCTACACCTTAATTATGTTTACTTTTTCTAACTTTACTTGACTGCAGAAAATGTGATTCAGTTGTGACAGTTCTTCAGTTTATACACAGATTTTCAAACTTTGGGACACATTTACTTCAAAACAATGGGATTTAACTACTGACCTTGTGGCCATGAAGGACAGGGATGCAGATGCAAATGTCACTTATGTAGCCTCTTGAGAAAACAATGCAGTTACAGTTTAGTTTTTCCTTTTAGATTTTTATTTTACAAGATTTTTGTAGTTTTGCTTATTAAGGAAATCGAACTGTAATATTTTATGCTCACTTAATAGTAGTGGTTAGAAGCCTATTCTAGTCAAATATGTATGTTTTACTTGTGCAATTAATAGTTTTTGTTTAGAAAATTTTGATTATTTGACAAATGACTTGATTATTTTTATGTTTTAAATTGTTTTACTTGGTTTTAACAGATTGTTTTACTTTACAATTGAGTAATTGCTTCACAATGTTACATCATGAGATAGTTTTTTATGACTGTCTGCATCATTTTAGTCTCATCATTTAGTTTTATTGTTGCACAACACAAGCTGATCAAGTCACATATACCACTATGCCAACTGTTTGTTTTTTTTTCCCAGGTTGACTTGGTAGGACCTGATAAGTTGAACAACTCCATGGGATTTTCGATGTTCTTTGTGGGACTTGGATGCCTAACAGGTCCTCCTTTAGCAGGTAGGTGTTTTTTTTCTTTGTGAAATCTGTGCTGAATGTCGTAAGTAATAAATATTAGCTAAATGCCACATGTGACATCATGGAATTGAGAGTGTTTCTAAAAGCCAATGCCTGAGGTGCCTTCAGGCGGTGGTAAGACGTGGGAGTTGCCCCCCGCCGGTGTACTTGTTGACCCACTTTGTGTGTGTGTGAGGACACACATGTGTGAACAGTGTCACCTTTCTTAAGGGAGGAAATCTTCCAAGAACAGATTTATCTGCTTTTGACACTGTTAGGCAGATCATATCACCTGTCTTTATTTAGCAGCAGGTTAATGTCTTTGGTTAGATCATGGATGTTTTTACCATTGACCTTTTATTTCTATAGAACTTAGCCTAAGTGAATAGACAGTGTCTCTAAATTTAGCGTAAACGTTAACATTAGCTGCACCAACAGAAGTAACTTAAGATTCAGCACTTTGATCCAGTTGCCATTCTGTTCACATGGAAAATATGAGTTCATTACACAGTAAAGCACTGGTAGATGTCTGTACAAGCAGTCTGCTGACAGAGCTGCAATTCTTGGAAACGCAAGAGGCTCTCTCTCACTTAGAGGGGCCCTGTGTGGGAGGGGGCTGTGTAGGCCCTATTTGGACAGAGGGTATGTAGACCCTCTTTGGGTGGGGGGCTGTGTACGCTCCCTTTGGGAGAAGGGTGTGTAGACCTTGAACTTAGCCCCACATAGTCACTCTAACCCAAACCATTTTGTCAGGAACCCCCCAAACTTGAGCCCCAGCTGGGGAAGCAAAATGTGATTAGTTAACCCCCATGTGGGCTTTTCCGGACAGAACCTTTTGCTGTTGACTGGCCCTGCTGGTCACGGCTGGAGCGCACCACAATCCACACTGACCTCTGCTACATAGGAACCAGAAACATGGTTCAGCCTCCCTCAGCTTCGGCTATATGTCCTATAGTATTGGCAATTAGCAAAACAAGCGAAGAGAGAGATTCTGTAAAGCACTTTTCACTAACGTTCCACAAGACCTAATAGTTTTGCAGTTGGTCCATTGGCTTTCCCATCCTGGAAAAGACATGTTCTGGTCTTGAAGGGGAACTCCACCAATATTTCTAAATTTCTGCATAGATTAATCAGTGAGATGTAAACAAGGTTTGATGTGAAATATGGTTCATTATAGAGAAACGTACCGACTTCTTTACAGTGATGATAATAACCAAGGGATGCAATGTCTTAAACGCAAATGTAACAATTTTATTTAAGATCCAAATGATAGAACAACCTTATACACTCTCAGAAATAAAGGTACGAAATTCACTGGGGCAGTTACCCCTCTTGTCACTGGGGTGGTACCCTCAAGGGTAGCCAGGGAACATAATTGTACCATAATCCACTGAAATCATATTTTCTAAGTTGTATTGACTCCACACAGCCAGTCTCGTCTCCAGGCTTTTTATTTTATTGTTCTGTTTTAAAACATTAGATTATGAAAATGTACAAAAATGTTCTTTTCACATGGGAAAAACTTATTTAAGGTACATAGTTGGACATTAAAACCACTGTTGTATCTTTGAGGGCACATTTCCATTGTTTGTACCTTGATGTACAAAAGATGTACCTGCACAGAACCTTTATTTCTAACAGTGTAGAACACCCTGCAAGTACCTTTTCGGCATGAACGGCTTTTAAATAATACATTTTTGATCAAAACCTATTGCAAAATGATCACAAAACAATGTCTTGGGCATCATGCAATGTGTTTGTACCCAATTTATGTTAGTCATAAACGCTTTGGGCATCTACCTCCTACCAGCATCACTGAGAATAATTCTAGCTATTTCATATCAAACCACCCTGAATGACAATTTTAACCAATTAATTATTCCAAATTTTTTGAATAAATGTAAATCTTTAATGCCATTTCTTGATAGAGGGACCTAAAAAAGAAGTAAATTGTCTCATATGAATTAGCTGGTGGATTTTTTTCATGAATGAATTGGCAAAAAAACAGATTTACACAGTTTTCCTTTTATCTTAATTGTGTGACATACCGCTGCTGCCGTTCTTAGCTATGGGGCATAATTTTGTCAAGCTTTTATAGGTAACAGTGATCAGAAGCGAATCTATTTTGAGATGGGCCCCATATCTCAATCAGATTAAAGGTCTGACTCCTCATCTGTATCCTCCAGGTTTTCTGTACGACTACACTCAAACGTACGACTGCTCCTTCTACCTGGCTGGCGTGTGTTACCTGCTGTCATCAGTCTCTCTCTTCCTGGAGCCACTGGCCCAGCACTGGCAGGCAAGAAAGAAACGACAGGAGCTGCTCAATAAAGAGCTGATGTGGAGCAACGGCTGCTTCTGTCCAGTGCCTCAGAGAAATGGGGTGGTGTAGATGAAGCAGAGCAGCACACCATGGCCACGTCTTTTCTCGAGGTTTCATCCTCCAAGAGTTACCCTAACCTCAGCTTTGGGGTGGACTACAGTACTAGCCTTTTTGAGGGAAGGACGTTCATTTGAATGGCACAGATATTATGACCAACACAGTCTTAAAATGCTTGAAGACACCATACTGGATACTGCTTTTAGTTCCAGAGAACAGACGGTCAGGTCCGTTCTGTAACTTCCAATAAAGCCAAATTGATTTCATGTTACAGTAAAGTAGTAACCTTCCCTGTGAGTGAAAAACTGTCATCTGTAAAGGCTTTTTTTGCCCAGTGGGAGAAACAAAAACAAGTTTTTTTTATTGTTTTACTTTGATTTAATGTCTACATCTTCACTTTTTGTGTATTGCCAACATCCAGTTCAATATCACCGGAAAACTCTGTGCTTCCATTGGTATCGGTGCATCAGAGGGTATGAGGGTTACGCAATAGATTATTCAATGAATGAGTAAGTAAATAAATAAAAACCTCTTTAAAGTTTTGCATACAAAACCATGCACTTTACTAAATGCTGATTGTTCTCTATGCAACTTGTCTGCTGGTTTGAGGTAATAAGCAGCCAGCAATCCACATCAGTTTATTTTTGCTGTTTATACACACAAACACAAGGTCCAGTACTATCAATCAGCCACATACATACTCTAAAATGAGCTCATCTAAGAGAGTCGTTTAGATTCATTATGTTTTAAAGATAAGTTGTTCCTATTGGGTCACAGCCCTGTTTCTACATCTTAGACATGCATTTTTTTCAGCTGGTGGTGCCAAATTATGGTCATGCCATTAACCACTAATAATAGTCCAGCAAATTTCCAAAACAAGCTGCTTTATTCATGCTATGAGTAAAAATCCCTGCCACTAATTAGCTAAGGGCTGAGTCTAAGAGATTTAGGGCACTGTGTGTAGATTTACCCAGTCTTAGATATAAGTTCATTTTACCTTCTTTTTTACCACAAACTGTAATTGTACTGAATTATCTGTAGTGTTATGTTTATCACCAATATTTGTCTTTTATGTACTGCCTAACTGTACTAACTGTTCTGTAATATGAGCCAAAGATGCAACTGAGATTAGGAACTATGCATATTACCCACAGACATGTATAGAATTTCACTTTTTCATTTATCTTTTGAGTCAAAAACTTTTAAGTTAGCAAAAGTTTACTTGACAGATGGTCAAATACCACATATGGGGTCCTCTATCAGGTAGTGCCCTCTAGTGGCACCACATAGTCCCGCTGAAGGGGAGCATTAATTTTGTGTATAATCCTTCTTCTTAAATCCTCCTCTTGCTTAAGTGCCTAGCAAGATTAATTGTTTAGGCCTCATTTTTTTACCTATTTTTATCAGGTCTAAATAATTGTATATGTTTTGGCTTGGCAAAGGGCCTACAGGACAAATTCTTACTGAGCTCACCCTTAAAAACACTCCTGTTGAAAGGCTGGCTTTGTGTTCTCTGAATGTCTTTTTACTTCAGTTAGATGTTAAATACTTTTGATGCTTTAAAGCATTTTTTGTATCACTTTTATCTTTGAAGGCAGGGCTTTCAGCGACCTTGGACAGGTGATGTAATGCCTAAATATCATGTAGAAAGTGTTAACTGTGGAAAAAGAAAACCTCCAAAGACTTTGTCTTAAGGGGCCACAATATTACACAATCATGGAGCCTCCAAGGGCCACATGACATAGTTGATGGATAAAACGATTACAAAGCACAGTGGCCGATTTGTCATCTCAGTGGTAATTTGCCACTAACTATCTGTGAGGACAGAAGGTCCGATTTTTTATATTGATAAATATTACAGTGTAAATTCTGGAACTGGTTCAAAAAAAGTTGATGTCAATCATTTTTTGTCAAGATTTTCTTAACTGAAATAAAAGCCAATGGTGAATTTGGCAACACAGTCTAAATTCCATGTAACGTGATACGGCTCTGCTGTTCAAAAATTAAACCAGGTTTTCCATAAAGTATTCTCTGTTGATATTGCATGTAATCTTATTACTTGCCGCATGCAGTGTTCAAGAAATTACACAAACCAATATGAAAACATTGTTTATTCACATTTATGATAAATGTACAGACATCACAGAGGTATTTACTGTCATTTTCCCCACAGTAAATATTTTACCCTCCCTTAGACAAGTTTTATTATTATAATAGGAAATGCATTTCCAGAAAGAATATCATTGCTGTTGCGGCAAAACTTTGTATCTCCCTTTTTGCCGTTTTTTCTTTTTTGCATAATTAGAAAAATCTAGTTGCCTTTTGCATTGTGCTAAATTTTATAATGAAAGGACCAACAGAATTGGTCCAAAATAACTTAGGAAAACATCCTTTTACAGTAAGTACCTTGTACATTTTGGAGATACAAGGTTTTGTTCTGACAGTGATAATATATAAGTTTTATAGTTTACATTTACGTTTTAAAATCGATATAAAAAGGTCCAGTACTTACGATTCCGAAGCAATGGTGACAGTCTGTGGTACTTTACTGCTTTTGTAGAACAGATAATTTACTGGACGATGTGATGTTCATGATCCAACATCTGACTGGGGGGGGAAAATACTAATAGGCAACAAAGTTTGAAGGAGATTAACAATAAAGATCATATAAGCGTGCACACAGACAGAAAACGGGTCACCACTGCATCCTTCCAGCCATGTCAAAGGTCCTCCATCATCCTGGAATGGATTCAGTGTGGAGCTCTAGGGAGGAAAAGCATGATTTAACATGAGGAAATTTAATAATGTGATTAATGCATGAGATCATTTAAGGTAAGATTTATTCTCCTCTATTCTTAAATTGTTCTTATGGTCTCTCTTACAGAAAAAAACAGAGCCTAATGAACACTCATTCATATGTTGTTACTGTTAGAACAAATTGTGTATCTATACTTTTTTCTCCATCATTTGAAGATGCCAGCGCCCTTTGCATTGTGTGAACAATTAATGATGAATGCACCAATAGAAATGGTCTAAAATGACTAAAACATTCATTTACATTACTTTAAAGGCTGCCTAGTTAACTTTTTTCCAATGAAGTTTTTTATATCCATGAAAGGTATTGCGTTATTACTGTTAAGTCCACTTTTAAAACTGATTACTTCACTGTTAGATTATTTCATTCCTAATATAATCAATAATGACAACCTTAATTTTTACAGTTTGTAATGTCCAGAAGTTTAATTATGATTTACCTGTAACTCATTTCCTGAATTCTATAAAGAAAGTGGCAAAGCAGTTTCTAAACAGAACATACAAGTGTGTGTTTCTGTGGATATCAGAAGGCAAAAGTATGAAAACATACAGATGTTCAACCTGGTCCATAGCTAAAACTAGTGTTCCTTAACTGTCTAAACGGCCTTTTCTTACCTAATACAGCAGTTCTAAGTAGATTTTTATTTTCTCATTCACTGACCAAATTAACATTCATATTAATCTATATGTTCTAGGGACTGTAAATAGAACGATAAGCCACATTAAATCATATACTGACAGGAATTTGCAGTTAATAGTTCTGTATAACTGCACCCACAACAGTGCCTTGTTTGACACTCCACTGCCTTATGTTGGCCCAGATTCAACTGTATTAACTAGGACTTAAAGATTTTCCCCTTTATATCCAAAGTTTAAGTAAATAAGTATGTATACTGTTCTTTTCTTTTCTTAGAGGTTATTTACATTGCTTTAATTACTGGATTATATAATTTCTAACTAACTATCTTATTAATTCTGAGAACGTGACTTTCATAAGCAACACTAAAGGAGTATGGTATGGCAAAAAAATAATACATACACTCATTCTGTATGATATTTCAACTACATTACCTGCATTTATCAGTTAAGATTAAGATCAATGAGACTGGAAACAAACTAAGCATTCTGGAGAAGAACAAAGCTGCCAGCATACAGTCTTACAATTTAGTCCTAAATATCGGGACTTATTCAAGCAAACACTGATCTATAGCTCTGTTATCCCTAACACTCACAAGCAAACTGTCAGCTTTGATGCTAAACTGATGATTTTATTCAGTACAACATGTACGTAAAGTTTACACTAAATGCTCCAATTTTCACTCATACAGGGATAAATCCATGAATAAACACTTCTGTGGTTGAAGCAGCAGAGATTAGGGTCACACATAATTGTGCAACCAAGTAACAACAGTGCGTCATTCATATGAGCGACATCACAGAAGTGCATTACTGTATTTGGACTTCCTATTGATTTTACACCGTGTGCTTTTTTTTATTATTATTTATCATTGCGCATTAAATGGTTTGTGTTCTGTGCAACAGTTTTCTCATTTCCACTGGCTTAATTACTGATGCTACTGTGACACAGAAACATATAGCCCTGGGCTGCCTGGCAAGATTTTATGGACTGATTAGAGCTGCATCTTAATTGGGCTGTTAGTTATTAGTGAGTGTAGCTCAGACCACACAATGAGGCATATTTATGTTTAGTTACTTTTTCTCTCCTTTTACCTCGGTGCGATACTCAATTCAATTAACTCTGTATTCACGTTAAAATGAACATGTATAGGGCAGGTTCACCTGTTTCTACTGGGCTGGACCAAAATTTATCATTATTGTGATCAATTACATCAAATTATATCAGAATATGAGTTTTCTGAGCATACTGCAGATACTATTAGTACTTAAAGAATACTGACCAATTGCATGTTTCATTGCAAAGACAGCACTTTGTCCTATTGAACTGAATTCACACCTAATTATAGTTTTGTTTTTTTTGTTTTTTTAATGTGGCCTCACTGATGCCTTTTTATTTTTTCCAACTTATCAGACCTGAGAAAAACTAAATATTTTGACAGTCAGAGGATGCTTCCAGGGGCTCTTTTTGAGACTCAAAGACGCTAACATTAGAAAGCTTGTTCCCAGACACTGACTAAACCTACTTTTGTAACAAAACTGATCTTCAATGAACAATCAGGGACATAAAAATTAACCAAAAAATAACCTAAACCTGAGGCATAACATATGTATGCCTAATTGGTGGCATGGCATTCTCCTCTCAAAGACAGATCGAAACAGTGATGTTGGAATTTGCTGTTACTTCAAAACTAAACATTAATCCTTTATCTGTCACAGTGACACTTGCCTAAGTTGATACTTACCTTTACCAGGCAGACTTTGAGAAAAGGCCCTGGCATGAAGCAAACTAACCCTACTCACCACCACCTGGCTGTCACTCACTCTACCCCAAGGTGAGCCAAGGTCCTTTTTTCTGGATCATCTGCTGGAGAGCTGCTGAAGGTGAACAGACATCTGACTAATGAGGGAAGGAGGGGTCTCTTTCTCTTTCTCTTTCCAGCTGAGGCTCCTTGCAAGCAAACTCCTCCATATGTTAACTTTTGTGCAGTTTGAGGAAACTGGCAGTCTAGTTAGGAACACGTGAATTTCTTTCCTGGTTTCTTCACTGATGGACGGTCAATTTAAAACTGAACGTTTAAAATTTCTTTTCACAAATAGAAGTGTAGGAGGACAAAACTATCAGACTCCCTTCAAGGTCAATACAAAACTGAAGGCCTACAAGTGCTTTTACTTTCTATTTCGCTCTCCTTTTTTCTGATCATGGAAATCCTCTTCCTTCACTGCTTTTTCAATGTGGTGAAAAATAAAATCAATTCTGTAGATATAAAAGGTTGGGACAAACAAACGCCTGCTCCTCTGAAATGGAAATCATTCAAATTCGGCCTTTAACTTGCAGGTGGCAGCGCTGGCAATGCAAAGCGGGCAGCAGCAGTGCGGCCGGCCAGGTTACTGCAGGCCCGGATGCTTCCGGCTGATGTATGTGTGTGGGCGGCTCGCAGTAGGCCACACCTTGGAGCTTCAGGGCACGAGTGACAGCGCTGAAACGAAAAATCTCTGCTTAGTTGAAGGTCTGCAAAATCAACACTTCTCCTCTGACTTTGGTCACCAGCAGAGAAGAACACTGCTACATGTACAACACACGGTAGCACCGTCTCAGCTCTCGCTTTTCCCTTGGGAGTGGGGGTGGGGGCGGTGGCAGTTGGAGCAGGAGCTTGCACAAATAGGGATGTTAATTAGCAAGCCGGGCAACTCCAGGCCACAAGGTTGGAAAACACTGATCATCAACAACTCAGAGCAACAAAAGCGCTTTTGCCCTCGGCTCCTACTGTCATGCCTGATCCCGTGGTGCAAACATGGGCAATTTCTCTTTCCTGAGCAGAAAACAATCAATCAGCAACAATTCCTTCGAAACACAACCGAAAAGCAGTGGGAGATGTTCTTCAATTCATTTCCAACGAATTAATATTTCTCCCTCAAATGAAACAATTTATTGACAGCAAGACAAAATCAAATAAGTGCCAGTGCACTTTTTGTGTGTATGTGGACAGCTACTTCTGAGCTGCGCAAGGTGTGAATGACCGATTCCTTTTTTTTTCTTTCTCCTTCAAGAAATCAGGTAAACACAGCACAAAGCATGAGGGTCATTTTTCCGTTTAAATATGGGAACTGTAAGCACAAAAACAATTACACAAGTGTGAAGCTGCTCTCTCAGCGAGAATACACAATCACTAAACGGAAAGCTCTTGCTCTGCATCCAAAGGGCTCCTGCATCAATTCAAAACAATCTTTTCTGATTCCAGCCATGGGAAGTCCTCTGGCGCAACGGTCCTTATCTCATCCTGTGAGATGTCTACTGAGGGTACAGTACATCCAATCATCCATACATATAGTTTTGAAATTCTTCATTCACAAACCAATCAATTTTAAAAAATGAAATTTAGTGTGATCTTAAAATGATAGAAGTATAATACAGAAGACACCTAAACATTTGTTAATAATCAGATCAGACCCCTTACACTTCAAATCAGTAACATGTAAAGAAAAGGAATACGGAAAATTTATGTTGTGGGGTTTAGAAAAACAAATGCTATACGCTACCATTATGAAACATGAAACACACTGAGCATCATAAAGATGGTGACCTCCCAAAACACCCAATCATTCAACCTGAAACATACTTAAACGTAGGGCTGCACAAGTAAGATATGAAGCAAATGCAAAATCCTAATTTTTAGGTTTACAATTAATGTAACTGATGGATTTACCAGTTACACCCAGCACAGCTACAACACTGACCAATTTAAGAGCTTCCCAATCTTTTTTTGAAAAATAATCATAACTGTTTCTACAGAGCACTTTTTCAGATGGCCTACTGGAAGATGCTAATCACTTTAATAATCTCTCTTTAAATTGTGCAGCCCTGCTTTAAGTATGATCTACACTTACATCTAAGGTAATATATGTAAGGTATATTATGGTTAGATTACATCATTAATTACATCATAATTCAATGAACTGTTTCAACTCACATGTACCTACATGTCAATTTAACAGTATCAGTTTCCTCAATGCCAATAATGTGGCATGCATAATAAAACTGTGGCCAATGTTGACAAAGAAAATGAAGGCCACATGCATGAAATTGCTTTTCCTGTCAAATGTTCACATTTTTTCCTGTTTTTTTTTTTAAGTGTCCCAGGGCTGTGATTACTTAAACAAAGATAACAATAATGATAAAAGCAGTGAAAAAAATAGAAACTAGTGGCTGACTAAATCACCAATCTTTATCAGAGATCATCAAGTACTCAGTGTATGAAAAGGAAAAAGCAAATGAGAAAATTGCCAATATCTCCACATTACTTTTAGAATTTAAATGACCTTGAAAAAACATGTAACCTGAAGATAAGACAGTAAACCATATCTCACATGACTGAATGCTTCACTGTTACTATGACAGTACGGTACGAAAAGCATGACAAGAATCGTACATTTTACCTCTTGAAGCACATTATTAGCTCTGTGCATTGGTCTGACTTTTTAACATGTTAAAACTAAAGGAATTAAGCCAAAATAATCAGTGATTCATGTTATAAGAGGTCTTGGATATAATAAAATCTTTACACAAAACAATAATTTGTAGCCTCATTAACTGCTTGCCCTGTTCCACACTGATGAACATTTCAATACTAAGGTACAGTTTGTGTCTGTCATTGTATACATTAGCCTGTATTATGCAAAAATTTGAACGTGAAATATCTGTGCAACAGTTTCAAAACAGGACACTGGAGTCAACATGCAGTTCTATGTGAGAAATATCTTGACTGCTGCAGGTGCCTACACAACTACACACCTAGGCCTATGTTACACTTTAACACTGGCTATCATTAAACTGATTGTTCCAAGCATTAAGTCACAATAACTCAATTACCCTTTTAAATCAGAAAAATTAATATACCTACATGAATCAATCAACATTCATGTGTTGGCTACTGCTTGCAATCTAACAGTGAAGCAAGAAAACTATAGGATTCTGAACAGAACAGTGTATTCTGGCAAATACTCAATTTTCTAATTCTATGTCTGTCTTTTATCATCCACTGTTTCATACAGCTTTGCACAAATATGATTTGATTTGGACAAAACACTCAAGTTGTAATAGTACTCAAATATTGTAATATCAATATGAAACCCAATTCTGCTGTTTGAGACATTTTCTTCTTTTCTTTTCCATGCACTGCATTTGGCAGAACAAATGACACACACCCCTTTAACCCTTTAAATTATAGTTTGCTGCACCAGGCTTAACAGAGCATGCAAATGAGACATTTTCTTTCTCTCTCTTTTAAACAATGCTTTTTTTGGTGTGTTCTGATTGTTAAGATGCTCCGCGGACGATGATCATGACCAGGTAGTCCTCTTCTGTTTTGGCAAGAGCTTTTGCAGAGGAATCTAAGAACTGCTGAGAGAAATCACAGGGCGGAAAGGCGTGAAGCACCCCCGTGTTGTCCTTATCGCGACTGCCCCCAACAGGCAGGCTGATAACCCCGGCTGCCTGCTTTTGCTTCAGGTATGACACAAGGTTGCGCAGGGGCCGCTGTGTTGATGCTGCTGGATCTGTTGAAGATGAGGATGATGTGTCCTCGGAGCTGCCAGGAACTGCTAGAAGGATTGCATACCCGCCCGGGCCTGCGACTTTGATGCGACGAGACACTTCATCCATCTTGGGCTGGTCGAGTCGGAGGCGCTGCGTGATGCGGAGTTGGGTGACCTTGCCTCCTGTGGTGCCGTCGACAAGGAGGCTGCTGGCCACGTTCAGGTCGCCCTCCAGGATGTGCATGCTGGCTGGGAAGTTGCTGTTCTTAAGCAGCAGCATGCCATTCCAGGCCATGCTCAGTTTTCCGCCAGAGTCTTGCTTGGACGACTGGCTGCTCTTGGAGCCCCCCTCAGCTCGCTCTCTCTTTGAGGGGCCTTTACTTGCTTCCCCTGCTTTGCGCTTTCTCTCTGATGGGCTTGTTCCGATGCTGGACTCTGACAGGCTGCTGCTGCTTTTGAGGCGCTTTTCCCCAGGCCCTCTGTCCAAGCTGCTGCGGCGCTCTCGTGCCGGGGATGGTCGCTCGGTCCTAAGCGGACGTTCCGAGTCACTCAAACGGCCATCGCGGCTGCTGCCTCCAGGGCTGCCCTCCAGAGAAGGAGGTCTGCGGCGCCGGGCTGCCCACTCGCTGCTGCTGTCAGGCGAACACTCCAGGTGGCGCCCGTCCTCCAGGAGGCGCCGTTTGCGCGCAGCATCCCTGCCAGGCAGCTCGCGCTCCAGTGACCAGGGCTCTCTTGGCCGTCGCTCACGTTCTAAGTGCTCCAGGGGTTCGAATGCAGGAGTCCTTACTCGTTCACGAATGGCAGGAGCTGGCCATTCAGCTCCAGCATAGAGCTCTCTCTCTCTAAAGTGCAGCGGCGGGGGAGTCCTTTCTCTGACCCTGATCGCTTCAGGAGTGGCACGGTGGACGAAGGATTCCGTCACAAGGTCATAGTGTGGCAGTGGCAGTGGCTGTAAGAACTGCTGCTGGTAGCGATGCTCTGTGTCAGCGAAGTCCACCCTCAGCCGTCTGTCTGGTCCGCCCAGAGGAAAGCCACGCATGTGGGTGCAGGCTGCCTGAGCTGCATCCAAGCTTTCATACTGAATGTAGGCCCATGTGTCCCCTTTTCTGTAGTCTATAGTCCTAATAGTGCCAAAGCGGTCAAATTCCCTTGCTAATGCAGCAAGAGGAACCCAAGGTCCGAGGCCCCCAACCCAGAGTCGCGTTGTTGGAGTTGCTTTTCCATAGCCGATTTTAATAGCATTTCGGCCAACCACTTTCCCAGACATGCTGATCTTTGCTCTGTGAGCCATGTCCAAGTTCTCAAACTTAAGAAAGCCATACGTGCTGTTCTGACCGCGGGTGGGCCTCTTGATGTCCACCTCAGTGATGGTCCCGAACCTGTCAAAAGCCCTCCTCAGATCGCTCTCTGTGACCGTGATGTCCAAGTTACCCAAAAACAAAGTTCGGTTGGCTCTTTGGTCGTCTTCTGGAGAGATAAAATCCTCCTCGCGGAACGCGGCGGCCCGCTCAGCAATGTAAGCAGGTCTTGCTCTTGCTTCGTAAAAAGCAAACTCTCTTTCTCTTTCCAGCTCCCTGGGTAAAGGAGGGGGAGGGGGTGGAGGAAGTCGACCGAGGGCTAGCTGCTGTAACCTGTAGTCTCTATAACCCAGTCCAGTCGGGGACAGCGGCCTCTGGGTGTGCAAATGTCTGTGGCCAGCCACCGCAGAAAAGTGGTCTTTCTCCACTGGAGAGCGACTTCTCCTCCTGTTCATGTACACCGCCTCTATTTTCAAAGGACGGTCATACAGCACCAACCGGCCTCGAGCATGTTTCGCAGCTCTGGCATCGTCTGGCCTCCTGAAGTTCACAAAAGCGATTCTCTCGTCGTTCACACGGCTAATTTTAACACTCACGTCACCGAATTTTTTGAACTCATGGAAGAGACCGTCTTCAATTTCCTCGTCGCTCAACTGCGACCCCAGTTCACTTATTTTCAGCGTTTTGTACTCACTTTCGTTCGCAGGAAGCTGAGTTCGTTGCTCGGCGCGAGAATTGCTCCTGGCGGCCGCTTCGAGGGACAGACTCGAGTTGTGGTTCTTGCTGCTAGCGCTGCTAGCAACGGGGCTGGTGTAGCTGTGGCTGTTTCCAGTGCGACTAGAAACGTGTCCGTCAAAGTCCCGACTGTCTCTTTTGTCGCCCAGCAAACTCCTTCTTGCCGAGCCTCCTTCACTTTTGGAGGAACTGTTGCCATTGTTGCTTCCACCAGAAATGGAAATGACCCCCATTTTCTTGCTGGTCGGATGGCTTCCTCCTCTGTCTCGTATATCATCCAAGGCCCTTGGACGCTTTTTCACGGGCGACCGCTCCTTTCCTTTCATGTCGGACACTCTGTGACTTCGCGTCGTCTAACAAACACTTAAAAAGCTAACGCGCTACCGAAATTAAGTAAATTCAGACGAAAAAACACTGTATTTCGTAAACTATCATTGCAGCAAAACAACCGCATACGCCATCTTGTCTAGACTCAGGCGTACCTCGCCCGAAGAATTTGATTGGTTTGAATTTCTGAAAGCGTCCGTTTCTATTGGCTGTTGTACATGTCAATCAAGGACACAGTACAACGCCCAGCTGCTTTCGGCTCGCATTCACAAGACCAGCCCTCGTGGCATGCGGAAATAAGCGCTGAGAAAGGGCATTTGCTTCTTTAACCAGTTTGTTTATTTCCTCTACAAAACTGTAGACACGCCTCGCGATTCAAATCGATTATTTACAATATAAATCTTACATAGGCTCGATAAAATATATAAGCGTGAGTGTATTTCACGTGCAAACCATTTGACCTTTGCAAGAGGCGATGCAGCATTCATTAAACTGGGTGTAGTTCACTTTATGTTCAATAGATGTCGCCCTCTGTATTTCGTACAGGTCCTGAGGTGTAAAGAGACGTTTTTAAAAATACAAATCATTAAAATAATAATAGATCATAACCCCATAACCACACACTAAACACACTTTCATTTGTAAATTTAGTTTACCTCCAACGGTTTACGATTAGCAGTGCTTCCATAGTCAGCAAGAGGTGTTCGCTGCAAATATGTTTACAAAAATGTTTAAGTTGAACTACTTAAGAAATACCTTATCTGTGTATTGGCTTCTAGTATTTGTGTATCTAGTGCAGTGCAAGAGGTTAATGCCTGGATGGTTTTTGTATTATTTCAGATAGCCTGTAAACTGGCCATTTCAAATTAAGCATGCTCGACCATTGTATTCAGTAGGCAGTATTTTTACAGCGCAGTGTTCCTTAACTCTCAAGCAAAAATGAAGGCCATTTTGACCTACATTCATAGATTCATAGAAACCAGCTTGTCCAAGGTCTAATGACATACCTGTATATTTTTTTAATATTTCAGATAGCCTGTAAACTGGTTATTTGGAATTAGGCATACCCAAGCATTGTGTTTAGTATGCAGGATTTTTTACAGTGCAGTGTTCCTTAATTGTCAAGCAAAAATTAAGGCCATTAAACCGTACTGACCTATAGATTCATAGAAACCAGCTTGTTCAAGGTCCTAATGAAGGCCTAATCTTGACGCATTTCCAACAAAAAGCATCACATTTTGGTACTTCTTGTCTATTCTATCAGCTATAGTCCAGAAAGTTTATGTCTACACTACAGCCTTCACCTAGAGAACTTTCTCCCAATAGGAAAATGGAATATGCTGCAATATGATGTCAATATATTCCTGAATGTAAGCAGAACATATCTACGTTCTCAGCCTAGGTCATTCTTGTATGGGTCTGCATGCATCCTGTTGGCTCCAACTCGTCCTACAGTTCCTTTGCTTGGCTCATCTGTTTAGTGGTTCTTATGTTTTTTTTCTACTTTGCTTTATCTGCTTATCTCATTCACTTAATCTGAGACCTAATCAGTTTGCCTGTGTGGCTGGAGCAGGCCTCGCTGTCTCGACGGACCAAGCTGGAATTCTAAGCTGTGGGTGTGGAGAGTGTTTCTGACAGCCTCGCTCTCTGCTCTATTGGAAACACATGTCAGCTCTCACAAAAACACGACATGGTATGCTAGACTGGCACTTAATGTAGTCCAGTGCTGCCGTCATGCTGAACATACAATGGAAAGAAGCAGTAACAAATGCTTGCCCCAAAGCAATCCTCCATCGCTCCTCACTTGGAGAGTCGGGTGAAATGAAAATGGCTTTGAACAGGTTGTAACTGCAGCTGTTTAGCTTTTTTCATTGTGGCAAGAGCTACATCTCAGGCATTATGTAAATTAGGCTGACTGTCCTGAAAAGGTGGCTGGCATGTGGTCATTAGATCCAGATGGAGCTGTCCCATGCAGCACCACATATTAGGCCTTGTCACATCTGCTGTGTGCTACCTCTGCAACTATTAGCTGGCCTGGATGGGGCTGCCATGTATGTTAACATAGCTATTTTCTACACTGAAAAAGTGATGATTGGATTGCCTTGATTCAAATGTGTACACTATTTTCAGATGAACAAAATATACAGTACAGTGCAAAAGTCAGAGACCACCTTTCATTTATTTCCAAAACAGCCATTACATAAAAAATATTCATTTTCCACTGTAAAAAACAGAAAACATTTAACAGAAAACTGTACAGAAGTCTCCAAAACAAAACATAATACCACATTTTTCATTATTCGGTGTGTCCAGTCTTTGCCTTTATTACAGCTTCCATTCTTCTCAGGAGGCTTTTAGGGACAGTTTTTCACACCTCCAAAGTTCAGTTTTAGAGGATGTTTGTATTTTCTGCTTCATGATCCAAGTGATCCCCAATACATTCAATGATGTTGAGGTCTGGACTCTGGGGTGGTCAGTCCATTGTTCTGAGAACACCAGCATAGTGTTGAGTAGGCGTTGGAAGGATGGACAAAAAACACCTGTTCTCTGTATCTTTACTTTTTTTGGACACCAGTATTTTTTCACTTATTATCCTTTGACTTTCCCCTGTCTTATGCAAGTGGATTATCTTATATCTAATATCTTCAAAAACATCTCCCAAAAAATTAATAACTTGTACTTTATGGCCATTTTGATTGGAAATTTAATAAATGAAGGGTGGTCTCTGACAAAATTGTGTGCATGTAATATATTTAATGAACGTGGAAATATACACATTTGAATGCATTACTTTTCTTCGGTGTACATCCATGTTAGGCGTTATTTACAAAAACAGCAGTATGGAATCAAACAATAATTTCATATAAGCCAGGATGTACAAAATATAAAATGTTACTCATGTTTTCCAAATTTGGACATGATAGCATCATGCATATTTCCTTCAGTATGGGTTGTACTTTGCACCTTCAAATAAAGCACCCATGAATCCATTCTTATTGTACAGTAGGTTATGTCAGCATCCATCAGGCCTACAGTTCATCCCTGCTAAGAGAAAGCAGTCTTGTGTAGGCCTGTCACGATCATGGCATTTTAGCTGACGACTGATTGCCATGTAAATAACTGTTCATTGTATGCAACTAATAAGGTAAAAGCCCAAAGTGGCCAGATTGGCTAACTAGCATTCTTACTTTTTAGTTGTTGATACTTAGTAGCTCCCAACTAGTGCAGAAACAGCTTAAGCTCCTGACTGCTGCCCTCTATAGTCTTAATATCTGTTTTTTCATCTGCATGCATTTGTCTCAACTCAACTGCTGAAAAGGCAACTTCTTCACAATCTGTTTGCTGTGATGTAAACATATGGTTGAGAGAGCTATCAAATGTGGAAAATAACTGAGATCAAGTTATTGATCAAAAATTGTGACAGGCTTCATTTTGTGGTTAATGGGATGTGCGGAAAGTGGCCCTGGAACGCATCATCAGCACTCTGTGTGAGGGGTTGTGCTTGTTCAGTTGAGTTTGCTTTAGCAGTGCTGTCACTTTCTGATGAAACATTAGCTGATTTCTAAAGGCCTCTTGAATTACAGCAGGCGCACAACACCTCTGCTTTTTACTCTGCTGAAGAGCGGAAACAGCACTGTAAAACAATATGGTCACAATATCACCATGGAGTACATCTGTCACATAGAGTAAAGGACTTTACCAGACTAAAGCCACTGAAAAATATCCAGAAATCGTACAAATTATGTGGTGTGTGCAGGAATACCATAGGTTAAATGTTGACGATTTGGCAACGTGCAACCTACTGGAAAAATACCAAAACATGGTTAAGGTGTATTATCCGTATCTGTGGGTTATAGATAGAGGGAAGCAAATAAACAAATTTTTGTGTTGACAAACTAACTTTAATGGCAGCACAACTGTTTCTTCTTCCTCCATATAAACAAATTAATGAAGTATAAAAGAGATATAAAAGCCATTCATTAATTGTCTTACTACTGTAAAAATTCAGCATACATTGAACACAAGATTAGTCATTCTGTTCATCAGTTCTTACAATGTTTATACAATTATGCTCAATATCAAAGAATACATTCTTAAACAGTCTTTGATCTTAAGGCGCACATATTTATAAAACGGTAACCAATTGCATGCTTCCGTATGGAAACATACTATTAAAACAGCATATACAGGGCATGAGGCATTTATCATTCTTATAATAACTGCAAATGTAGGAAAAATGTATAAGCAAATCTGTTCCTCACACAGGATGGACGGTGAGCTCTGTGTCCAAAACTGGGTCTCCAATGTTTGAATTTCTATGACGCACAAACGCACCACTGTGTATCCAACGATTACTTGTTGGCTCAGTCATTTCCTAGCTGAAGGCCCAGTCATGCGGTCACGTTGGCCAGGATAAGAGGCTGCCAGGGTCTTTGGTCTTCATGCGTAGGGCCACCAGACCTGAAGGCTTGTAGTCAGACTCGGGGCCTGGCTCAAAGGAGTGGGCCCCCAGGCCCCCCTGAAAACTGTGCAGGGAGTAGAGGCCGTTGATGCCGGGGTGGTGTGGGTGAGGATGATGAGGAGGATGAGTAGGGGATGTAGACATGCTCATAAGGCCAGGAAGGTTGCCATGGGGGTGGGAGTGGGGGTGGTGGGGGTAAGGGGACATGCAGGAGGACGACATGCTTTCTGTGCCCAGGACGCAACCTCCACTGGCAGTGCCTCCACCTCCTGATCCTGCTGACCACAGGTTACTCTGCATCTGTGTAGTAACAGAAAGAGTTGTTAAAAAGACAAATTTATAAGATTTTACCCTTTACCCCAAATGTAGTCAATCAGCCAAGATATGTTTGGTGTCTGAAATATGCTTCTTAATTTTAGAGCCACAATGCAAATGTAGCTAACGTGTAAGCAAGCTTATACTCTTTACCAGCGTGCAAACTGCATGCCTATTTCACCTGCCTCAGGCGAGCTTTGACAGACTTCCTTATGTATTATCTAACACTGTTTGAAATACAGTTATCTGTAAAAAGTGGAGAAATTATGTTGACTAGTTATAACAGTACTAGCAGTCATTTTCAAGTCTTGTGTCCATAATGTTTTCTAATTGCATAGATAATAGTATGTCATACAGTGTCAGAAACCACATTCTACTTGGCTTTATTTATCAACCATGTGTGTTAATCTCAAAGTCCCTGAGTTGTGAAGCAAATTTCAGATACCAAACATGTATTGGCTGATTAGCTACATTTGAGGAAAAGGGAAATTACTTCAACATTTACGTCATAATGTGAGATAATGATTCTGCACATGAAGCTGTGCTGGACCTCATTTCAGGCATTACTGCCTGTCTAGACCCTTCGCTCAGCTGATCCAGGCTTACTGCAACCTCCTAGGATCAGCCCAGTTAGTGGAAGTTCATTTTCTTATTCGTCTCCTAAACTCAAACAGCACTCAGAGAATATGAAGAATGCAAACTTGATAGGTGTTTTGTAACTGTTTGTAATTGTACTGTTATTTTCATTTACAGCATAGTGTTTTTATGCATCTTGTGCTATATGAATAAATATTTATTATTATTATTGTTATTATTATTATTATTATTAATCCAATCTTTAAAAAGTGCCAGCTTGCTGGTGGCCACACATAAGACTGTAAACATGAATACACCCAAGTTTACTCTATAAACGCTTTGTTGGTCATTTTTAACTATATTCTTATTTAGATTTAGAATTAGCTCACCTAACTTTCAAGGTCTGTTATTATGATACAGCTAGCAAACATGTCATCTTCTAAAAGAAATGTACTGCATGTAAACCCATTCTAAACTCTGTAATGCTTATACAATGTAGTGTGCATGTTGTACCTGGTACGTATCGGAGCGAGGGAGGAGCGAGATATCATATGTAGCAGCAAAGTGGTTTCGCACTTCCTGCATCTTCCCATAGCGCTCCCTCTTCCTCCATTTTGCCCGTCTGTTCTGGAACCAAACCTGTCAGAGTGAGAAGGTAGAGGATCATGCAGGTACTTTCATATGACTTATTTCTTAGGCATTAGCACTAGTCAAATGATGATAGAGATGAATTTAGTCATTTCACAGAATAAATTGTGTTTTGCTTTACAACGATTTAAAAAGGTAGCTACAAAAATGAACAAATATGCACCGTTCCCTTGGGGAAAGTGAGTGGTGTGTATTTTAAAACATATTTAAGGCGCACAGCTTAACCTTAAAGACAATGCTGTGCATTTAAGGGTAGATTCACATTGTTTATACCTTAAAGGACTAAAATTTACCTGGACAGTACCTTTTTTCTGACATTGTACAGAGAATAGCAACAAAGAGAAATGACCCTTTACCCTCTTCTCTGAGCCTGCTAAACTAAATATTGTGGTATACTGCTGTAACTTAAATACACTGGTTCCCAATCCTGGTCCTGGATATTGCTTGTGAAATATAGCAATTACAGTGTAACAGTAAGAACAGCAACTACTGTTGTCACTATTTATGCTAAAAATGCATAACAGTGGTGTTGGCCTGTAGACACCAAGGATCCGGGAATTTTCTCAACAGACCACTAAAAGTTGGATAGATGTAGAAAAGTGGTTTGTGTTAGACAAATACGGAGATGTTTATTCTTCTTTCATGAAGAAAGCTTTTTGGGTTTAGGTCCCTGTGTGTATTCATATGAAGACATTCTATCCAGCTTTATTAGACAATTTCACTCTTAAGAAAGACCATAAACATCTAATTTAATACAGCACTTAGCCTAGATTTCTTTTTTCTTTTAATGTTTTCTAAAGTATTACTTGGGTGTTTTCCTTGCTGGAGCACACCTAATCAAGACCTTTGTGAGCTGAAGTGGTTGTGTTTGTGCAGGAAAAACCCTAAAACGAGCAGAACAGGGGTATTCCAGGACCAGGTTGGGGAAGAACTGTTGTAACAGATAGCATAATACCTGCACACGTGCTTCAGTAAGTTCGGTCCTCAGGGCCAGCTGCTCACGCGCATAGACATCTGGATAATGCGTCTTCTGGAAGACCTTCTCAAGCTCCTCCAGCTGAAAGGTGCTGAACGTGGTGCGGTTCCTTCGTTTCTTGTTTTTGCCTGAAAGGTCGATCGAGTCCACAATGGAGTCTCCCTGGTTTAACCCGTTTGACGGCTCTTTCAGTTTGCCGCAGCATTCTGTGTCCAGGACTGGATACCCCAAAGGCTTGGACAAAGACTTCTCCCCTACAGAGAATAAACAATATAGATTGATCATACTGATCTGAATAAGACTTGGTTCTTAAATTGCAAGTGGCTATATGTGGGTCCACAATTTAATTCATGCATATTAGTTTCACTGAAGTTACTGAATGTTTAGTAGGTGTTGAACAATAAGTCTTGAAATGGTTGCCTGAGTGATAAGGCTGCCGTTCACTAACACACTTAAAAAGACCCCAGATTACTAAGGAAAACCGACCCCAAGCCACAACTGACATCATTTATAGGCACATATAAGGCAGCTCTTGTGTGAAGGTATCATCTGAAGATGTACAGTATGGTATCAAGTTTCAAGTTTATTTGTCATTTGCACAACATCAGGACATTCATGCATTGAAATGCTTGTGGTGAGGCTCAGCTAATCACTCTATAGAAAGTAAAAATAAAAATACAAAGAAAATACAGAAACTGAAATATGTTAAATATACACAAAATATACACAACATATAGAGACAGGAGGGACCTATGTAAGGGGGAAAAAAGACCTCTCTGCTATGTACAAATATATTTATATTAAACAAGGAATAATCTGTGAAGAATATATACATTTTAAAGTGACTTAAGTGACTTGGTGTTATTGTTATTTACAGTGTGTCACTGTTTTCTATAATACAAAACAATCTTTTGCAGATGCATGCATAAAATGTTTCTATAATGATGTTAATACTCTGCAATTTTTAACGATTCAACTAATTGGTAGGACATTTTAGATGTGTCCAGACTCTAGAATGATAAACTATATATAGATATATAGATAGATATATAGAGCTATAAATGCTTCCATAACAACTAAAAAAGCTGTATAACATTGAGAATGAAGTTATACTAAAATTAACATCAAGAGCACCTATTGGAAAAGTGTTGATCATATCTCAAGGTGGATAACTTATCAAGGGATAATAATTATAATAATAATTAAATAATGATTAATACTAAATCATTACAGCATATTATTTATGTAAATTCTTAAAATTTTAAATAAAACATTAAAATATCTTCTGGTACTTAGCTTATAAAAAATCTTATTAAATCTTACTAAAATGTCTACATTTTTTTTGAATAAAATAACAGCAATTATAATTATGACAGGCAAATACAAACTTTTGAAAGATAGTGTGTATCAGATTTGATAGAAAAGTAATATTATCCTTAACTTTACACAAAAGTGAATAACTCTATGCACTACACCACAGAAATAGTGAAACGAGGGAAAGAGAAAAGAAGATGCCGTTAGACGTTAGCAGTGTGGATAGCTGCAGACAGTGTTTTTCCCTACTGTTAAAAACAGTTTAACATGGCGAGTTATAAACAGGATGCAAACAGACTTTAGTCAGGAGATGCTAGAGAGGAAGCAGCCTTAAAACGCAGCGGACTTTCCTCTATCCTCCTTTGGCACAAGCATTTAGCAGATTTGAAGAATTAGAAGAATTGAGACCAAGTGACTTTCAATAATGAGCAAACCAACCTTTGGTTCTTGTATAGTTGGCTCACATTAAAACAGACACTTCTAATATGATGCACTTTATCAAAGCAAAGATGTCTTTGCATACACTGAAATAAGAAAATGGATACATTTAGACATATATTAAGTCTATATTAGACATTTACTACAAGTTCTTAATCTTTGCGAGGGAAACTGCCTCATAATGCCGGACAGAATATGAGAGCTTCATTCCAAAATGCTGTATCCATTTGTAACAATTTTAGATTTAATGAGCTTTTGAACAGAGTAACAGCTGATGTATGAAAATGGTATTAATTATAATGTAGCAAAGATATTTATAGCATGTTTAAAGCTCACTCCCAACTACAAATATCATGGAAAAAAGAAAACTCTTGAAAGTATTCTATAGTGCATTTTGGAACAAAACCTCCTAACCTCTTATGAATAAAAGAACAACAAACTTCTTAATGTTTGTCTAACACACAACACTTTTTTGCAATGAGCCAGCATTTAGTGGTCTGTGGAGAAAATCCCCCGACCTAGATCTTTGGTATCTACAGACCAATACCACTGTAATGTAATTTACACACAAATAGTGGCTAACATTTAATTTTTCTGCTATTCTGAAAGTCCTACATTTCACAATATATAATTCCATGCTCGTCAAACACTACATGGAGGATTTAAAGCAATGTGCGGTATGTGAAGTTTCATTAACATGAATTAATTTACAAGTTATTGTTAGCATAGTACAGCAAAAAGGGTTCTATAACTTGTACCAAAATAGATTCTACAACTTGTAACAATAGTGGAACCCTTTTTGTGAAATATAGAACTTTTTTTGAAAGGTTCTTTGAAGAATAATTTACAGGTTCTCCATCATACAGAAGATCTATTTAACTGTGTAAGGATTAGGGATTCAAACAGTTGTTGTCAGGGTTCTGTATTTAATCATGGCTCACTTTTTAAGGGTACAGCCTAACAGCCTACAGCCTATCTTTGCCGATTAAAGGTTTTTCGTAGAAGGTCAAACTGTCCTATACTGTCAGATAAAAAGATACTGCACCGGTTCATTTTTGTTCATCAAGGTATAAACAACATAAATGTATCCTCAAAGGTACACCAAATTGTGTACTTTAAATAAGTTCTTCCAGGGGAAAGGCATGTATTTGTACCTTTTTCATAACAATGTTTTAAAAGAGAAAAATGAAATGGAAAGCAAAGAGCCAGGACAAAGTGTACAGAGTCAATGCAACTTAAAAAAATAATTTAACTGCAATGGAATATGGTACAATTATGTTCCATAACCAAAGGCACTGAAGACGCACTCTTAAGGGTACCACCCCAGCGACAGTTTAGGATCTTTTTGTCTGAGAGCGTATCAGGTCAAAACTCCCCAGCTGAGGTTTGTTAGGTGCTATTCTTCTCTTTTTTGGCATCCTTTTAGTTTAAAATGAAATAATATCATTTAAAAGAAAATTACCAAATAGTCCAGGTGTTGAACCAACAGATCAGAATAAAATTAGATACAAAATAATGGATGATGAAGTATATGCGAATGACTAAAATGTACATGTATAAGAAGCTGATATTTTTCTTCACAAATATACTTGAGCATAAGTAAAACTAGCATTTGAAAATTCTCAGAAAAGTGAAAAATGGAACTGTGTAAATGTGACTAGTTACTACCCACATCAGGTCTCTGTGTATCTTAAATAAACTCTGAGAACAGCTACACTGTAATCGACAGCCGTATGACGTACAGTCCATGTGCCAGCATCATCTGCTTGTAATTCATCTGAATTAGAGTGAAATTAGGAATTAGATGTTTCTGTTGATATTAGTGACATCTGACCTTGGAGGGTGACTTGTCACTGGATTGTGCGCTTTTAAGTCCCATGGCCTCAGCACAGACAAGTAGCAGAAATGGATGAATGAATATCTTTTTAATTCAATCTTCTAGTAAACAGAGGGATGCATTCACTACACCGAGTTATCTGTCAAGACTATTTGGACTTGACCCTCTGAGAGAGTTCAGGCTGAAAGAGCTTTTCACTTCTCACGAGCTAAAAATACTGAATACAGTTTTGGGAGAAGACGAAAGTTGCATGCGGTGCACTATAGCTTCATGTGCAATAATCTCTGTCCAGATCTTTTCTATTTTTCCAGCTGTGGCTGTTAGCTTTATTAAATAAACTTAAGAATTATGGTCATAATTTGTAGTTAATCAATTGTGGTCATATTTTTCAGTTCAAGAGCTAGTCACTTCAATGATTAGTCAGAAAAGCTCAACTGCTTTGTAGCTTTTCAAACCCATGAGGGACTCTAGGACCTTTAGCCAAAAGACAAAACAGGAAGAACAAAAGTCCTCCTAAAGCTGGAGAGCCTGTGGAGGCCTCTCAGCGTTTTAGAAAATCAGTGTCATGTTCGGAATGGCTTTTTCACTCTATTGCCTAATAAAAAACAGAAAATTAGGCCATACTGTAACACACGCCCCTAAATGACTGGACTTTTATTCTCTCAATTGGACCACACTCAGGAAATGTGCTACAGTCTTTAGACTTGGTAGTGTGGTACAGTTAGGGCTGAACGATTTGGGGAAAATATCTAATTGTGATTTTTCAACTAGTATTGCATCTGTGATTTAAATGCAGTTATTATCTATAAATTAAATTCTGAGCCTGTTTTTTCTGGCCAAGAAGAGAAGCATGTCAATTTGTTTGGGCTTGAGACTTTTAAAACAGAATGTAGTGTGCTAGTTCGCGAGCTCTGCATTTGTTAGGTTAAATTTCCCTTCTGAAAAATTTGAATTACATTTAGATTATATGAATAACATATATTTAGGAATAGCATATAGTTAAATAGTTCTTGCAATTTGAAAATTAGGTACAATGTCAGTTAGTAGGCTTACACTTCTGTATTGGTTCTTTGCTTGGATGTGAGGTTTTAGCAACTTAAAATTTGGTACAGAACCTTTCTACTATGTGGAGGTTCTTTAAACACACACTTGCACATCTCATTTACAATTTCTTCAGGGAACCAAAAGAGGTTCTTCTATGGCATCGCTCCAAAGAACCCTTTCTTTCTACTTAAAAAAAGTACGGAGTTCTCAGTAATGAACAGTTTGCTATAACTTGCACAACTGAACTCAGAAAGTGCTTGTAAATCATATGATGATATGAATGGGCAAGGTTAAAGAAGGGAGAACGGTGAAATGCCCAGGACGGTGGTACTCCAGGACCAGATCTAAGAACCACTGGTCTAGGCAACCAGATTTATTCATTTGTATTTTTCCTCAATGGTTTACTTCAGATAAACTAAACCTCCCCTATTAGAGCTGAGCGACTTCCCTTTGACAGATTCCTAGAGATTGTAATTTAAAACCAGAGGAAGTGACTGTTTGTGTTAAGAGCCTGTCACAGTGCAGTCCACACAGGGTGACACTGTCTCAGGCCTGAAGAGCCGAAGGTCATCCGCCAAATACTGCGGCTGTTTTTGGCAAAGACATGGAAGAAAAAAAGAACAATATTGTTCCAAATGTTACAGGCCTCGTTTCAGCTTAGAATCTGAAAAAGACTTTTAATTTGTCATCTAAAAGAGAGAAAAACGAGAGAGAAAATGAAGGTTCAGATGGGTCTGTAACTGCTCCATTTAACGTCCCTGAAGCATGTGGAGTGTTTTGAGGACAAAATTAAATTCCATGACATTTCATATCATGATGGGTCTGTTTTCATTCAACGACCTCCTGATGTAGGCAACCCAGCCTGTTAAAACAATGGTTTAAGCATATGGCCCATGTATTACTGCAGCACTAAACTGAGCTAGCGCTTTAGCTCACAGCAGTAAAGCTCCCAGTTCAGTTTAACTCCGGCTTGTTTCGGGTATTTTTTTAAGACCGTGAAGCTGTGGGCTTGCAAATATGAGCCAAAAGTGAAAAAAGTCAAATATATATTTGAGAAATTGCTAACAAAAATTAGAAATATCTAGGTATGTTATGAATTATATAATATCTCACTATAAGCATAATAAAAGTAGACCTACCACATGCTGATATCTTAATTCCAATAACGTCGATATTTTGTTTTATTTTATTTTTTAAAGGCCGCTAGCTAATTTTTTGTGGCTAGTAGCATTTACCTCAGAAATGTGCTCATTACCCAGGCAGCAAATTCAGGTCTCGTAAATTCACAGCAGGTCTTAAATCACATTTCCACATCGGCAAAAGCTCGATAAATTTACTTTTAGTTCCTTTTCAAAGTCTTAGTTTGTTGGCGGGGTCGCCTCAAAATGGTTTCTGTCGCGTTTCTAGTAGGAAAGCTTTAAAAAAAAAAAGCTTAAGCTTTGTTGACCAACTGACAATAAAGAGCATCATGGGAAAGATAATTTAAGATTAAAAGGCCTCTGGTGTTAAAATGGATTTGGTCGCCGGACAGTCCAACTCAACCCACATTTATCCATAATTTTCCTCGCAGTAGGCCTGTCTAATTTATTAATGAATTATTAAATTATAAATTATAAAGTATAAACGGGCAGTGAGAGGTCTAAAAGAGCGAAATAAATACACGGACGCTAAAATACTCTCAGATTAACACGAGCACCTTCAGCCTTCTGGCACGTTCACACAGTAACACTGATATGAACTTCCTGTAAATGAATCGACGCGCTCCGTCAAATCTTAATATAATTCACAGATGTTTTAAAGGGTTTAATCTTCAGTGTTGTGGAGTGGAGCCTCGTTTTTATGTGGTACACTGTAAAAACAGACTTTTCTCATCAGAAAGTTTTTTCTTTAGTCTAGTCCTGTTAGAGTGACGATGTTAAGATGATGCTGAGATCCACATCTGGAATTTACAGCGTGTTTACTGTTGGAGTGTCAGTGAGGTTAACATGATAAGACTTTATAGGTTTCTTGTTTTTTTTTTTTTTTTGAAGTAAAATAAACTAATCAGTTTTACAGTATATTTTACATTTTTCGTTTCGTTCACACTTTATAGCACGCTCGTAAAAATGTTAATAAAATTTGAGAGAGTAAAGCATGAACAAAGCCTTTGGCTCTGATTGCATTGCATTGTGAAGCTGTTACACCTCATATAAAAAGCCAACGGTGGATTAAAGGAACTGTGCAGTTACATTCTTCGTTCATGAAGGTACGAACAGTGTAAATGTACCCTCAAAGGTACAACAGTGGTTTTAAGGTCTTTTTGTGAACCTTAAATACGTTTTCCCAGTGGAAATGTACATATTTGTATCTTTTCATAACCTAATGTTTTAAAACAGAACAATAAAATAAAAAGCCTGGAGACGAGACTGGCTGTGTGGAGTCAGCACAACTTAGAAAATATAATTACAAGGGATTATGTTCCCTGACTAAAGGTACTGAGATGTACCCTTGAGGTACTACCCCAGTGACAAGAGGGGAACTGCCCCAGTTTTTTTTTTTGTTTTTTTTTTTGAGGGGGTACGAGCAACGAGCAAAGGAAACTGTAGGTCTATCAGTGATCAGGAAAATAGTGACAATCCTTATTATTATTATTAGGTTATTGTTATTATTCTTATTATTAGTAGTAGTATAAGTAACTGGTAATATTAGAATGTTACTGTTTAATATTACTATGTTGGATATATTTCTGCTGCTACTTATTACTATTATTGTTATTATTACTAGGTAAAATTATCAGTATTAATACTAGCTTATATTATTAGTAACATTATTGCAACTACTATCCTATTAATATTTTTATTTTTTATTGTAATTACTATTATTGTAGTCATTGTTGCTGCTGCTGCTTCTAATGATGATGATGGTGATAATAGCCTAGTTTTGTATTGTGTAATTCTAAGTATTTTTTAGCGTTATAATTGTTATCTCTAGTGCCCGGTTGGTTTTTGGCAGTTCTGCTCGTCTCCTCATCTGTCTGGTTTGCTTATTCTCCACTCACCCTCCGAGCTGTCATGGTAAAAGGGACTCTTGCTGTTGGCTGTTAAGCTCCTTATTCGCTCCTCCTGAGCGCTCGGCGCGTATTTGCTGTGTTTGGCTGGAGAGGAGCGGCTCAGGGGGAAGTCCGGCATGAATCCAGGCCGCTGAGGGAGACCCTCGCAGGGGAAGAAGGAGCCCGAGCCCGAGGAAGAAGAGGAGGAGGAGGAGGAAGGCTCCACGGCCGAGGTGGGCTCCGGAGTGCTGCGGTGAGGAGGAGAAGAGAAAGGCAGACAGCTAGTGTCCGAGTCCATGGCGCAGACGGAGGAGCAGCGCGCGGGGAGAGAGATGGAGGGAGCGCGCAGAGAGAGAGAGAGGGAGAGAGAGAAAGAAGATCATTTGCTTTTTTTTCTCTCTCGCCACTTCTCCATTTCGAGTGGGTGGGATTTAGGAGATCAGAAACAAAGAGCCGTGAAACAAGGAGGGGGGAGGGAGGGGGTAGAGGGGGTCCTGATCCAATCCGCCAAGAATCCAATCACGTGTAGATCCTGTCTGTCCGTTAACTGTTTAATTTCTCCACCATATTCAAGCAGACAGGGAGTATCAGGAGGCTGAACCGAGAGGTTAACTGCGCGGAAAGAGCTGCCAGTTATTTCAGCGTTTAGAGCGAACCTGGGCTGAAGACCCTGAACAGACGAGAGCTTTTAAAGAGCCCCTCACTTCACTTCTAATCTGAAAAGCTTATATAAAACACTATGACTGAACTGCTACTGAACCACCAGCAGAAAAAAAACTCTTCAGCGCGCTATCACCACTGTTTGTACTGGGTATTACTGTTATCATGCTGTAGATATTGGAGAAAACCCAGAGACTCAACCAGAACTAAAACATGACAGACTGTCGTTCATTATATTTCGTCTGCCCTCTATTAAACACAGTGGAGTTAAATTAAACCTACTAAAGCACTGAAAGCTGGTGAAGGGGTTTATACTGCAGTGCAGAACAGCAGAGCTCATCTTTCAGAGAAATGAAAACAAAATTAAACACCTGTCCGAGTCAAAAAGGTAAAGGATGTTTCAGCAGTGAAGATCTAAACGAAGCTCCTGAGTGGCGGGACTGTAGGTGATCCAACGGTGATGTACAGTTACTATTAATTCAGTAACCTGTACTGGCATGACCACATCCACTCACAGTAGTGTATTATTCATGAAGTATTTTGAAAATCTGTGTCATTATACTATTATTTTCTTAAATAATCTTAGGAAAATTGGGCACATTATTAGTAGTGATGGAGAAATATGTTATCGTTGTGGTAATAATAATGATAATAACAATAATAACAATAATAATAATAATAATAATAATAATTATTATTATTATTATTATTATTATTATTATTGCGATTACTGTTTTTTTATTGTTTTATTGTTGTTACGATAACATAAATATTGCAACAATAATATTTAATATAGTTATTGATAATATGGTGTAACAATAATAATAATAACAATAATAGTATATATATATATATATATATATATATACATATAAATGTGTGTGTGTGTGTGTGCGTATGTCTGTGTGTGTTATATATTTAGTTTGAAAAAAAAGTCATGTGAAATTAATATAACAAGTTACTGTAAGCTGAAACACGTTGTAGTTATTAAAAAAGGTCAAGTTAACAAATTAATTTCAAGTCTAAAAACTTCTGAAAACTTCTATTCTTTGAGTGAAATATGAATTTGTATGAATTTGTTCCACAATAAGTAAACTTGTGTGTAGTGAAGTGTGCTATCACCTTTTTAATTGATAAAGCAACCGATAAGTACAAGATTATGGATAAACAAAATAATGGTTATCAATAACTCTGTGAGTTCTGTTCTGATCTCCGCGTCTTGAGCGCTCATATTCAACCATAACTGTTTAATCTGTCCAAACAAATGAGAAGTCTCCAGTGTAGAAGAGCACAGAGCGGGTTTGTTTTCTCACTTTAGAGAACCGAAGATCATGAACGAACCTCTTACAGCTCAGAGACATCAGCCCGGTCTGCAGTGGTCCACAGGTTCATTACTCAGCACACCTGAGCTTTCATTATCAAACACAACAAAAAACAGAATAATACAAAATAAAGAGTTTTAACACTCAGGTATACAGGTTTGACTGTTTCCTTAGTTGCACTGTAAAGTTCTCAGGAGGAGGCTAATGACAATCTGTTGGCGAGTTCATGTTGTTGGTCACATAAACATGAGCTATGGAGCAGCTCCATCAGCTCTGACTGCTCTGTATGAACCAAACACACAACAGGCTCAGAACACTTAAACTGATTGAATTAAATTTTCTTTTTTTCTCCAGCTTCTTATTCTAATTTTCCGTTCCACCTTAAATGGGGCAGCGGTTACAGTCTGCCTCAGTGTGACTGCTGCCCCATTTAAGGTGGGACGGAAAATTTAGCTTCATTAACTTCATTAACACCGTAAGTGAGACTGTAATTAACTGAAGAAACAAACAAACCGCCTGCATCTCTCTTTTTTCCACCTGCAGGATGAAACACACCCCAGTGCCGCTCACACACTCACATTCCCTAACTTCACACATACACACACTCCCGCACGCGCGCGCGCACGAGCTCACGGCTCTTTCTGTTCCTACAAAGAAACTCAAAACTGTTGATCCTGACGTGGCTGCGCCAATCTGCGCGAGCGATCTGTAAACACGGGGCACTTACGGAGCTTTCACTGCTTTTGAAGACTCTCTCAGAATCTCTCTGGATGCCCGTAAGGCCACACGGAGCCCGGCTGACGGACAAGTGTGTAAACAGCAGGTCCATTTGGTACACTCAGCGCACATAAGAGCCATTTCATACCGAACTGAGCCCTAAAACCGCTCCAGAACGGCGTGTCACCCCCTGACAGCCCACCGCTCTGCAGCTCCGCTCAATCACTGCTTCACTGATGGAGCGAGACTGACCGCATCAACACAGCATCAGTACAGCAACTGCCCTCTTCTCATAGCAGAAACAGCTCATACAACAGAAACAGCTCATACAACTCACAGTAGCGGGCAGACCTGTTAGTGCTGATCTGTAGCTTTTACAGATCATTCTGGAAATCTCTGCACAGGCATAAAGCTAGGAGCCTAAATGAACTTGATTAGGATCGTTCACTAATATATATTAAGAATAAACGTTTTTGAATTCGAGTTCTTGAAAGAATTTGAATTCCAAAAATAATCAAATGAAAATGAGAAAAACTGGACCAGAGAAGCCTACAGAGCACTGAATGGGTAAATTCACATGAACACAGTCGTGTTCACTGCAATAAATAAATAAGCAAGGAAGTAAGTAAATAAACAAATTTCTTATTTTATAAATACCTAAAAATAAATAGATAACTAAATAAAAAATAAAAAACGTTTATATAATTAACAAAGTAATATACATTTTCATTTACTTTTTATTTATATTTATATATATACTTATTATTCTTAAATGAAATAAGAAAATTTGGACACTATTAGATGTGCATAAAGAGCAGTAGGCGTTAAATTCACGTAAATATTGTTGTTCACTGTAAACTAAATTAATACATAATGTAATAGAAATAAATTATTTTTAAACGAAACATCTAAGAAAGTGTATACACACACACACACACACACACACACACACACACACATATATATATATATATATATATATATATATATATATATATATATATATATATATATATACACACACACTCTATTCAAAGTTCTTGTCAGCTTTCCATAACGGTATATGGAATATATATATATATATATATATATATATATATATATATATATATATATATATATATATATATATATATATATGTGTGTGTGTGTGTGTGTGTGTGTGTGTGTGTGTGTGTGTGTGCGTGTGGAAAATACTGGAAATCAGGATGTCATAGAAGCAAGAAAACCGGTTTTTAATCAGCATAAGACACAAGAGAAAAGGAAAGAAACTGTGGCCTTTAAAAAACACAGCAACTCGCTTAAAGACGCATAAAAGGGCCGGAGGAGGTTTCTGAGCGCTGTCGTTCATTAGAGTGACCCAGAAAGAAGCAGCAGCCCTGCAGACATTAAACAGACAAGACCAGAGAACCCAATTAATAAGCAACGTGACTTCAATTAGGATATAACAGGAGAGGTGAACACACTGATCTCTGTACCAGTGTCAGCTCAGCAAACCACACAAACTGACCTGTTTACCTCCAAACTGACCTGTTTACCTCCAGACTGAGCTGTTTACCTCCTCCTCCTTTTCAGTGTTCTTTACTGACTCCTTAATGACAGTATGAGTGCAGCTTTGGATCTGTGCCTGCTCATCTTCACTGTTAAAAATAAAGGTGCTCAAGAGGGTTCTTAGGAGCCCCCGAATAACATTTTGGTTCATGAAAGAATCTTCTAAATGGAACATTTTTTTTTGTCATCGAGATGTTTTAAAGTTTAAAGAAACTCCACATATCGTAAATGTTCTCCACTCTTAAGAACCATTTAGAACCGTGAGTGCTGTATGGAACCGTTTCATGCCTGGTTCTTTGCATGGCGAACTTGTTCTTCAGATTGATGGAAAATGTGTTGCATATAGTTCTATATAGAACCTTTTTTGTTGTATACAGCACCAAATAGGGTTCTTCTGTTGTTACAAACTTGACATCGTAACAATAGCAGAACACCTTTTGGTGCTACATAGAACCATCGTCAAAAAGGCTCTACATAGAACGATATACAACACATTCGCCATCAATCTGAAGAACGATTTCATTATGCACGAAACCATTTAAGTACACAAATATTTTTTGTTTGTTTGTTTGTTTGTTTTTTTTTGAGTGTTCGTAGTTCTATATAGAACACGTATTGTAACTGAAGAACCCTCGAAGAACCACTGTACCACTGCACCACTGAAAGAGTTTCCCCTAAAGCCATTCCTTTAAGCCTAAAGCCAAACAGTAGTTTTGGTTTAGTCAAAAGTATCAAAAACTCTAAAACAGCACCGAGTTCCCTGAAGAACTGCAGTGCTGAAGTTTGTTAGCACTACTCCTCTGTTTGTGTGTTTGGACTAAAACACAGTGCTAAAGCTCGAGAACGAGAGGAGTGAGCAGCAGCAGAGCAACCCAGGTGAAACCGAACAGAACGAAATCTAACAGAAAATACAGAGTTTAGGGTCTAAACTGTTGTCTGAAATACATGAGCACTGCTTAATTAGATTACATTCAGCAAAGGGACAGAGCAGAGGTAACACACGAACAAGTCTGCCGTTTTAAACGTGCAAAGCTTGAGTTATTTATAAAGCAGTGTAAAAATGACAGTCAGGAGGAG